TAAGTGATGATGGAAAAAGCTTACGACTTGTTCTGTTGTCTGGGCTTGCTTTTAGTTTTTTGAGAGCCAATGAATGATAGGACGGAAGGGTTTTCACGGTTACTCAACGAGAGCGTTCCCATCAGAGGTGGTGAGAGGTCATCACACTCCTTCATTAATTCGAAGCTGTTAGTAAAAGGCATGGAGCCATGGACGACGGGTCAGCTTTCTCTGCTCGGGGCAATGTGGTCTTTTCAGTAATGTCGATTGTCATGTCCAACTGCAATCAATATAATCATGTGTATTTTTTTATTTTATTTTTTTGTGTGTGTATTTATGAACATGAATTAATATTCTTGCTTGGCTGAGTTGTTTACTGTTCTGTCTCTCTCTCTCTCTAGTCTCTACTTTTCTTCTGTGGTGTTTGTCATAAATAAAAAGCTATAGAAAAGCAGCTTTGAATCAAAAGGACCCTGACATGATAAATACGGTGATGCTTTTCTTTTCCTTTTCTGTTTTTCAGAAATGTTGCTTCTCATGCTTGCTTGGTGATCATGGTCAGTTCAATTTTCTTTGTTTCTATTAAGTGGGTCTCTCAAAGTTTTTTACAGTCGAATGAATATGGTCAGTAGTTGTTCACTGAGTCAAAGCCCATAATTCACTCTCCCCTCTCGGATATCTCTCTGGTTCGCATATGCATATATGCAACAATTTTAATTAACCTGGCTGGTCCATCGGTCTTCGTCTGCGTTTATTTCTTGATGTAATTGGGCTTTTTAATTATATCAATTTGTTGACAAAATGGAAGCATCAAACAAATTAATGAATCTGAATTCTGGGTAGCGACAGCCGACTCATTCAACTTATCTTTCTGTATGTCAATGTACAATATTATTTATTAATTACAAGGAAGAGAGACGGCCGACGGGGAAATCCTTCCTATCGCTTGCTTCAAATTTTATATATACAAAACAGACGTGATTTTACAAATATTAAATATTAATTCAATTTGATGGTCTGTGTTGATTTACCTTGCTTTGACATGTGGCCATTGAATAATAGCCATCTCCAAAGAGAATGATCTTCTTTACTATAAGAAAACTTCTCACAAGTCCAAATCAAGGAAAATGGTGCATTTAGTGAATGCGTGTCTTCAGACCATACATGGATTCTAAATTTCTAAGATACACAAATTCAACTCTTCTATTCTTCCAAGTTTCAAACAATTTAAGTGAATGGGTGTGAATGTGATGAAAGATACGAACTACCATTAGGCTAGGCTTTAGGCTCCAAAGTCCAAACAAATTAAGACAATAGGTATTATTAAGTAAACCTCAGTGAGCGCTTGCGTTAAGGAAACAGGAGAAGAGGAAGAGAAACTTCCGTGACAGTGCAAGTGCTACCATTACGGAAGACAGTGAAAGCAAGAGCCAGCCATTCCCAGGTCAAATAAACCCAACCATCCAACCAACCACTCCAGGGTACAGGGTCAACCATCATAGAAGAAGAAGAAGAAGAAACCAGGAGCAGGATGGGTTGTGAGCGAGAGAAGCAAAATCAGGTTGGTTAAGTTGACCTTGCAAGCTAACCCATCATCCATCAATGGGTGGTCCCAGGCCCAGCCCCACCTTGCATGGTGTGCCACATCCGCTCGCCTCAACAGGAGTGTTGAAGTGCCTGACATCATGCACAGTATGCAAAGGTCGTTGGAGGGAGTAGTCATAAACAACTCCGCGTGATGACATTATGGATTTATACTTAAAAGGAGCATGTTCAGAGTCAGAGCAACTAACTCAACTAATCCATCTAGGCTCTCTGGGGCAGTACCCCTGTAGGGCTGTGTTAGCCAGAATCCAACCTCAAAAAAGTGGGATAGGGTTGGATCGGGTTGAAGTTCAGGTTGGAATTAGGGTTGAAAAGTATGAAGCTGACTTGACTTTGGGTTGGGTTAAGGCTGATGCCTTGATTAACCTCACACAGCTTCGTATTTATATAATTGTATCTACATATATTTTATAAACAGTTATTTATGTATGTAAGTGCTTATCTTTATATGTATGTCGGCAATTGTTAAAATTTTTCACAAGCATGATAGCTATGTCCTTTTGCATATTATGCTAAAACTGAATTGACCTTGAACTCGAGTCTAGGACATAATTAAGAACATTTGGCAAAAGGAGGTAGAAATGTCAACCAACCGGAGCCCAACTTGAAATCTTTGGGTTGGATTAAGGTTAGGGTTGGGGGTTCCATCACTTGGTTGGTTGACCTCAACCCAACCAAACCTGGCCTAACTTGCACCCCTATTAGAAATCTGCTGATTTCTAAGTAGATGTAGAACAGACCATTACCACCAGATGCATCGTTATGATTCTTGGTTGAATAAGTTCATAATATCAGAACTTAGTATTGCCAATGTTACAGGTAGAGTAGAGGGTTCTTCCCTGGACCCATCAAAGGATGATTCAGAATTTCTCAACAGTACTCTGCTTGAACCAACTTTTAGATGCTTGCTAGATCCATTAGCTAAGCCTAGAAAGACCTCATGCAGTGTTTTTAGCAACAGCAAAGAAGCAAACTCTCCAAATTCAAGCTGAAAATTTTATGGATAAACTACAGCCTACAGGGCAGGCCCAGCAAAGAGCAACCATTGTGCTTGAAAGTACAGAAATGAATCACACTAAGCTTCGAAAACAACATGAAAAATCGCTTACCATGCACTCATGGTCAAATTCTAGATCTTCTCTGAGTCAATGACTAGCTATGTCCATTTCCTATGTGGTTCTGCCAGTTACATTTTAGTTCACAATGAGAGTGTTATGCTGAAAAGATTGCTCAGCTGCCTTTCAACCATTGATGACACGTCTCTTAATTAAGCTATAGAAACCTTTCTTCTAATATTATCCCTAAACCACCAGAAATAGTCCCTGGCCATATTCTTTATCACTGAAACTAGGGGAATCCTTGTGTATGGTTGGATTGGAACTAACAACAATTCCGACTTTACTAACTTCACAATATCACATGGCTATAAAAAAAAAAAAAAACAAATCCAGCAACTAAATTGAGATACACAAACATGTCATAAAACTGTCCTGTTGCTTAATGATCTGCTAACTTTGACCACAGGATGCAACAACAGCCACAGGCATGTAGTGGCGGTATATTAAGTCACCTGATAGTATTAAAAGGCTGTTTGATAACAGCTGGAGTTGCTGAACTGAATGACCTATTGCTTTGTCTTTTAGTGAATAAGAATGTTATGAGCTCCTTAGTGGCTGAAGCTGAAATTGAATTGATTATTATACCCTTGAACAGTTTAATATTTTATAATTTTATCCACAAAAGACAAAGCAATAAGTCATTCAGTTCAGCACTTCAGATGCCACTAAATGGCCTCTCAAAAGTCAAAACTAGATGCTTAATCTTGGATTTATCTTGGAACTCAGATGAGGGTCCTCAATTCAAAATGAATTGGAATGACAAAGATTTCAATACAACCCTATTCCCTTCACAAATGCAAAACATCCACCTTTTGGAAATTCATTTTAAATGCTGGAGCAGTCAACAAGATTATAAAATCTAGCGAGTCCAATAAGAGACCTGAGGTCCTGAGTTACAACTAAAATGTTTAATAGCCAGAGTGCATAGACCCACAATCTCAGCCAAATTCTTAACTCTTAAAACGTTCAAATACTCTCATGCTCTCATTTTATAGGCAATGCCCCTCTCTAATTTCTTTCTCACTATGGATGATTGATCTAAACTATTCGAGGTTGTTAGCTAGGGACATCTCCTAATCATCAATCACAATTCCACCACAATTGGTACTGATATTTTTACTAAAATTTCAATACATGTATCCATTTTAATCCAATTTAGGTTGAAAGTTGAAACATTTCATCTATTGTGCTAGCCTTGCACTGAGCCCATCTTTTGTTTTATCACTCAAAATCATATTATCAGAAAATAACATATGCACCATGAAACCTCCTCGTTTAAATGTCTAGTTAATTCATCCATAGCTAATGAAAGAAGATAAGAACTATGTAGTAACCCTTGGTATAAACCCATTGTAACCAGATACATTCTTGTCTTTCCTTCCAAAATTCTCATATTGGTTGCTGACCCTTTATATAAATCCTTAGTGATATCAATATGCCTACTTGAAGTCCATTGGTTTCTCAACATCCGCTAGATGGCTTCTATAGGGGGTTCTATCATATGCTTTCTAAATTGACAAATACCAAGTATTCTTTGTTCCCTAATTTTCTCCATCAATCTTCTTAGTAGAAATATAACTTCTATGGTTGATCCCCAAACAATCAGTCAATATCTGTAACTTGATTATGGTAAGAAGACAAGTACACCAAAACACAACCTCTCAAACATTTATTCTTAGATGTTGGAACTCCTTTTCTACCTAACTATATGGGTGCTCTTCCAAATCATTCAACCATTGTACTCTATCCATTGTCCTTCTTCGTTGCTTATCACGGATGTGGTAACTTTTTGGCATTACTAACCACAAAAGACTTTGTCTTGTGAATAAACAGGCTATTTCTGATTTCTGAATGAATACATGCATGAGAGAAAGATGGCCATCTTCTTGACTGCAACATTCCTGAAGGCAGCTCTACTACACTAAGCTTATTTTTATTGGTATCAAGATAATGGTGAGAAAAAAAGAACAAAGCACAAACATCTACCCTACCCAGTGAGGACAGAGGCAAAACCTAACCGGAGAGGACCCAAACTACAAAAAATTACTATAGTATACTTGCTTAAGCTTCTTTACCACTCTCTATGGAATCTTGAAGAGTCCAAATATTAGATGGAGTTAATTTGATCATAATGTTAATGTTTCTACTACACAAGAAGGTGGAGTTTTTCTCTCGAGCAGCTTATCTTAATCTGAATTTCCATACTATGACTTATAGAGTAATCTTATATAAACTATAAGAGGCTCAATCCAACAAAACCTAATCCCAACCATTTAGGGTTGGCTACATAAATCCTGCTTCAGAATTCCACTCTTTCAAGAGCCATTTCCTCCATTAATTGCCAATCCTCGTATCTTTTCCAACTGAAGTTCAGCCAAACTCATAACACAACTCAGAAAATCAGTAAAAACATCCGCCCAAGGCTACATCATTAAAACAGGTAAGCTTACAGTACAAATTCTGAAAATATAAGAATTATCGCATAAACTACAAAAGCAGTTTCCTTTCTTCAACAAAATGCAAAACCCACGAGAACCTGCATTTAACACAGCAGCCTTAGCACTAAAAATTCACGAAGCAACAGTAGTAAACCAAATCAAGTAGTGCAAATACCACGGAAAACACTAACAAATAAAAATAGAGTTAAAAGAGAGGCTTAAATTCTCTCAACTATGACTATCGATCAAAATCCTTCGAACTGATGGGTAAAATCCAAGAACCAGGAAGTTGTATATCGTACGCGAGTAGTCCTACAGGACTAAATTACATACTCTGAAACCCAAATGTATAACATTAAATCCTATATTGTTGAGTGAACAAAAAGATGGAACAAAATGTCTTATCATCTGCTTGATGTACCGATCAAAGTTCTTCAGTGATGCTCAATCTCCATGATGCTCTTGACTTTCGGCGCGTACAATGAATAAACAGCAGCCTGTCTCCTTGCTACTTGGAGCTGAGATTTTCCATCAGCAAACGCCGACGAAATCGTTAAAGGATCCCCAAGGTCTCGGTTCTGACGGAAGGCGTCTATCGTTCTCCGTTTGGTGTACTCTCTAATATTGTAATCGGAGAATTCCCGGGCGATTCGTAACAGAGAACGGAAGAGATAGAGAACTTCAGCTCTCGTAGGGGCTGAAGCCGCTGTCGTCATCGCCAAGACAGAGGAATTGTTATGGGAGTATGGGTCCTATGGGTTTCCTAGAGGAAGAACTAATGCAAAAGTAGACCAGAATTTGCACTCAATACATTTGTGCTAGTGCAAATGAAAACGCGCAGCAAACAAACAGAACCTAAACAAAGTTCTTAATTTACGCGGACTTATTTGGTTGGAGCCAGTTATTCAGTAAGCCGCACCGGCAAGCCGAATGCGCATCACATGCTTGTGTGTGGGGAGGAGGATGGAAGGTCCAATGAACTGAAAAAAATCAAACGGTCTACAATTTACATTATCTAATCAGGTGAAATCCACCGGAGATCTCGGTTAATAGAGGGAATCATAAAGGTGTGGGTCCCAATCCATCAGAAGTGCCACATCTAAAGTACAGCTAAGAAGGATGGTTCCTCAACTACTCAATCCCATCTCGTCTCCTCAAAACCGCGCGTAACTGTCTCGGAAAACACAGAAAAAACCAAAAGAAAGAAAAAAAAAGGAAAAAGGAAAAACGAAACTCGGTTTTTCTTTCTTTCTTGTCGGTTGGTTTCGATGGTTTAAATTAAAAACAAATTTCTTTAAAAAAATTCAATTATCTCTGAGTGAGAAGTGAGAACCGAAACTGTAAGGAAGAAAATTGGGGAAGCCGGAAGAACAAAAGAGAAAAAAGCAGATTCAGCAGATCCGACAAATAATTCGTTCGATCCGCTCCTTGTATCTGTTTCTCCGCCCAGAGATTCCAGCTATAATGGCTTCTCCATCGGCGTTTGCTTTACTATGCTTTCTCTCCCTGCTACTCAACGTCACTCACTGCAAAACCCTAAAGAGAGACGGTACTTTCAGATTGTTCTCTTTAATCTCGTTCTGCGGAGTCGTCATTTAGGATAATTGTCTGGTTCTAGTGGCTCATTTGACTGTTCCGTCGAAGGTCTAACGTCTAAGTTTGAGAAACGGTTGTTTCTGTAATGAAGAGTTTGCTGTCTATTTTTTCGTTAATTGGTTCTGATGTTTCATGCTGTTTTATTGTGTTTTAATTTGTTATTTTGGAAGATACTTAAATTTCGAAACTAAGGTTCCTGTGCGTTGTGTGGGATCTTTGAGTCGGGAATTAGATTTGGAGACTAAGGGCTAGTTAATTGATTATTACATTGAAGCCCAAAGCTGGGTAACTATTTGTTGAATGCTTGAATGTACTCTTTAATTGTACTTCATCTGACGTTCACAATTCTATAGAGATTTTTTTTTTATGAATGAATTCTATAGAGATTATTTTTTTTTTTGACGAATGAATTCTATAGAGATTATTGGCTGCATTGGCTTTTATTATCTTTAAAGAGAGATAAATTATAGGAGTTTTATTGTGTATACAATTGAATCCAAAATGACATTTTGGTTGCAGTGAAAGCCTTAAATGAAATCAAAGCATCTCTTGGATGGAGAGTTGTCTACTCCTGGATTGGAGAGGATCCTTGTGGAGATGGCGACCTCCCACCCTGGTCTGGCGTCACATGTTCCACGCAGGGTGGTTATAGGGTTGTAACCGAACTGTAAGCAAAACTCTCTTTCATTCTCTGTATTATGAAAGTGAAGGATTCAACTTCACGAATTCATTTTTGTGGGGAATGTTGGGTATTCTGAACTTGCTTTTTGTGTTACCTCGAAGTTCCTTTTTCTTTGAGTTCTTTATTAAAATATGATGAAATTTATCATTTGGTTTTTTTATATTTATATTTATATTTATAATATATATTATAAATAAATATAAATATATAATAAAAATACTAGAAATACATATAAAATATTATATTATAAATAATAAATAATATAGTATATTATAAATATATATTTATATACTGTATATATTTAACCGCCAGGTTTATATATTGGTTAACTGAAGCCGAACTGGTACCTTTGGTTTTTTGAAAATACTGAACCAATTGGTTTGGTTAACTAGAATTTTTGGTTTTGTCTCGTCGGTTCAGTTTGGCTTTTTGGTTTTTTATGATCACCCCTAATACCAAGGACAAGAATACCGTATTACATGACCAATCTACTGATATGAGTCAGTAATCATCATGAAGGGGATAAGTAAATGAGAAAGAAAATCTGATTTCAAGATTGTGTTTATTAGCTGAGTTTAGACATTTAACATTTGATTCTTACTGTGATCACCTATCCATTGCAGAGAAGTTTATGCAGTTTCAATTGTTGGGCCTTTTCCCGTTGCTGTAACCAATCTGTTGGAACTGACAAGACTGTAAGTATCCTTCATCATACTTGGTTCTTAAAATTTGATTTTGATACTCCATCTCTTCATGTGCTTAGAGATGCCCACTTATGATGTCTTTTAATATTTCCATGCCTTTTGAAGTGTTATTTGATAATTGATTCTGCACGAGTTAGGATACTATGATTTTCATGTTTATTGAGCTCTTTAAATGTATAGTTGTTTGCCTTTTCTTTTAACAACAATGATTTTCACATGAAGTATACTTCTAACTTGAAGAGGACCAACAGTTAAAACTTAAAAAAAGTATATCATCAAATATGGCTTTAAAATTGCCCAAGGAATTTCTTGCTATTAAGTAGTATTCATATATAGCATTGTAACATAGTCTTACTCATCATGCACTCAAAAATACTTAGTAAGAAGTTGTATCTGACAGCTTAGAAGCTGTTTCTTGAAAATATGCTCTTTAAACAAAGTCAAAGAAATGAAAATGCTGAAAAGGAGATTGAAAGACCTGTTGTGCTCATGGCTGGGTGTCTTAAGGGGTACCCTTCATGCTTAAGTGTTCTGACATACACTTTTGAATACAATACTTTTTCAAATAAAATAAAAATAAAAAAGCTTTTTTAACCGTTTATCCTCTTACAACTGGAAGCGCATGTCTTCTGAGAAATCTTATTGTAGAATTCATTGTCTCAACAAGGAAAAAGAACTTATAGAAGTGCAGTCAAGAAATCTAGAGCCATTTAACTCCATAACAACTGATTTATTTCTTCAATAGTTTCTTAACATGTTGATTGTACTTAAATGACAGGGATCTTCATAATAACAAGTTGACTGGGCCAATTTCTCCTCAAATTGGACGGCTGAAAAATCTTAGAATCCTGTAACTTCCTTCCCTGTCTGCCCTATGTTATTCATTTAACGGTTCTCTTTCTCTCTCTCTCTCTCTCTCTTTATGTATGTATGTATGTATGTATGTAATATAGCATTTAACAGTTCTATATTTGTTTCTATTTTATTTATTTATCCAGCTTCTTGGTAGTACGAATTCTTTTATGTCATTTTTGCATTCATGAGGATTGCTTAAAATTTTGTAGAGTAGTCTTTTTGGATTTTGCCCTATTGATATAGAACTAAAGTAGGTTAAGGTTTTCAAAATGGTGAACTAACTAACCAGCCCTTCGTCTCCCATAAAAAAAAATCTATTGTCGTTAGACCTGTTCATGGGCCGGGTCAGCCTGGGTTCGGGCCGGGCTCTGTATATGTATCAACGGAATACACTCGGGCCTAAGCCTGAGCCCGGCCTGACCATTGGGCCTAAGTCTTGAGCCCAAGCCCGGGCCCGGCCAGAAATTTGAAAACATAATTTTTTTCTTTTTTATTCAATAAAAAGTGTTTTATTTATATTAAAAACCTTCAAAACTCAAAAATAATAAACATCTCACTATTACTTGGAAAAAATAGAAGAACAAAGAAAAATATTGTATATATATTTTTTATTAAATAAAATATATTTTTATTATTTAATATATAGTATCAAATCGGGCTCGGGCTTGGGCCAGGCTTTTTTGAGAAAGCCCGAGCCCGAAAAAAAGTCGGGCCCGATGCTTTAAGCCCGAGCCCTAGCCCACGGGCCTAAAATTATGACCACGCCCGACTTAATAACGGGCTGGGCCGGGCTATGGGCCTAAAATTATGACCAAGCCCGAGCCCACAGGTCTAATTGTCGTATACCACAAGAAGACGTGCTTTTTTCTGGAAGGGGAGTGAAGAAGGTACAGAGAGGCATACAGTGACACAGAACCCAATTGTGCAAGCCAAGGTGTTTTGGGGGCTTGGGGATAAAAAGTTTTGAAAGAAATGAACCTAGTGTTCTGAACAAAAGTTGGCTGGTGATTGCTGAAGAGGAAGATTGCATTGGTAGAGGTATTACAGAGGAAATCTCTTCCCCATGAGCAGTTCCTAGAAATAAGCACAAAGAAATGTGACTCCTGGATTTAGAAAGGGATCTGCAAAGGCAGAAGGGTATTAATGAACGGATTGTGTTGGAAAGTAGGTGATGGAAGGAAAATTAGAACTTGGGGGATCCATTTACCTTATAGGCTTACATTCACTGTACCATGGCCTAGCATTCGTACTTCAGAGTTCAGACTCTATCTACCTTGTAATTTGATGCTTGAAGGAGGGTAGTGGAATGACTGACTGCCATCAAGATACTTCTGAGTTGATGTTGCTAAGGAAATGAGGAAAATTCATCTGGGATACAGGGTTTGAGACAGAAGATAGGTGGATGTGGAAACATGAGAGAACCGGAAGGTACTCAGTGAAAAGTGGGTAAAAACTACTTGAAAGGGATAGATTAACTGGGGAGAAGATTTCAGGAACGGTAAAGTGGAAAAAGTTTTGGTGTATCCTGCTTTTGAAGAAAAGCACACAAACCCAGACATGATCATCTTTGGGCACGTCTGTTTTCCAGTAAATGGGGACGGGCAAATTGGTAGGTTCCATGGAAACAAAAGAAACCTGTGTTCGTGTTTTGGTATTAGCGGGTCCCACAGGAAATAATGATTCCCGAGAAGCTTATTTACTTGGGTAAGTAATACCCTCTTGAGACGGGTAATTCACTTTCCCGTCCATGTGGAAATGCTAATACATGATGGGACAATATTGTCTCCTCAATAATGACACTTTTATGGATAAAACTGTTATTGTATAACTTTGTCTAGGAATCAAAAGAACAGTGGTAAGTGCACTTATCCGGGTAAGTGTTTTCCAGGAAACATTTGTCCGAGTAAGCGCATTTACCCAGGTAAATGAATTACTGTTTAATGAACGAGGCCTTTGAGGCAAGCTCGATATCTACCAAGTTTGTGAAGACATGGTCAGTAGAATCCACTGCAGCAAGGAGGGATGAGGTGGGGGTCAAGTTGCAATCTGAGATCGATGAATTGCAATTCTGTATCTTCTGCAATAGGGTGTTCAAGGAAGGAAAGACAGCTGCTTCATGGTTGGGGCTGACATAGGAAGGACCACTTGGGTGGGCTGTGGCAATGCTTGTGGAGTGTCAAAATGCAGAGAGTGAGAGCTATAGATGTCTGGGAAGCAATTCATATGCCTATTTGAAATGACTAGAGAAAAGTAAAAGTTGTTGGAGACTGCCAATAGTTTTAAACTTGATGAAACTCTAGGTTTGTCAAACACTATGGCAAATCTGGTCTATCATTGAGGATGGGAGATGCATGGATACAGACTTGGAGAGTATAGTGTTTGAATACGTCTCAAGAAAGGTCAATTAGGTGGCTCACGGGGTTCTGATGCTGGGGCTACAATCACAAAATTGTATTCATGTAGTTGACCCCATATAGTTGGGACAAGGCTTGGATAATGATGATGATGATGAGCCTCATGAATATATCAAACTCGTAATTTTTTTTTTGAAGATAAAAAAACCAATTAATTATCTACTTTCTTAGCAAAAAAAAAAAGAGAGAAAAAAGAAAAACTAACCAGCCTTGGTGTTGTGGGACTTAATATTTGCTTCTGGACCATTAAGAATGAAATCCATCGTTTTGCAAGAGATTCAACCTGGTACTGTTTCCTTGAATGTTCTCCCCTTGTATGCTTAGAAGCATGGTTTGAGAAATTGAAAACTGACCTGACTGAAGTTAATGCAGAAAACTCATTCGACCTGATACAATCCTAGAACTCAGTGTTCCCTTGTTATCAATTGGCTTTGCTAGGTGACGGGAAAAATGCATGATGTTGCATTCGTGGTTCTTGCATTATGTCATAAAACCATCATCCTGTTCTTGCCACCTGGTGTCTTGGGAGGGATACAGTAGGTGTGGACTTTTGCTTTTTTTTTTGCATGAAGTGGCTTCCCTCAGATTTGTAGATTTTTGCATGTTCTCATGCAACCTCCTAAAATCTCATTATGCAAAGCCATATTTCTCTAAAGCTGTTGACTTTTTCTATCATTCTTCTTGTAGTACTTATTATCTATTGTTCTTTCTTGGTCCTTGTCAGTAATTTAAGGTGGAACAAACTACAAGATGTCATTCCTCCTGAAATTGGTGAACTAAAGAAGCTGACACATCTGTGAGTAATTTCAGCGTCTATTAGGAGTTGGAACTTCTACTTAAGTTGTTCCTCTGTTATATAACCTATTTTTGTATTTTGGGCAGGTATCTGAGCTTCAATAATTTCAAAGGGGAAATTCCTAAGGAGCTTGCAAATCTGCCTGAGCTTCGTTATCTCTATCTTCATGAAAATCGCTTTACAGGACGGGTCCCACCAGAATTGGGCACACTGCAGAATCTTCGGCACTTGTAAAAATCTATCTTATCTTTTCTGTGTTTACCTGAACAGTTTAGATATTCTATTTTCTATCATTATATTTATTGTGCATTACCATTTCTCTACTTAAATTGCTTATCTGTAATATAACTTATCTTTTTTTGGGGGGGTGCAGAGATGTTGGTAATAATCATTTGGTGGGCACCATAAGGGAGCTCATCCACATTGAAGGAAGCTTTCCTGCTCTTCGTAACCTGTATGTTGATTCCTTTTGTATTTGTTTTTGTTTTGTTTGTTTTGATTGATTGATTGTATGCTGATTCCTTTTTAGAATTTAGACCTGTTAATGGGCTGCGTAGCTTGACGGGTCGGCCTGGCCCGGTCCATTCTAAATTGGGCTTGGACTTGAATTTAGGCTCATGGGGTCGGGCTCAAAATATCGGGCCTGTTGTGGGCTTTCTCAAAAAGCCCGGACCAAGCCCGAGCCTGACTTGATAATATATTATATAGCAAAAAATGTATTTTATATAATAAAAATATACATATAATATGTTCTTTCCTTTGTCCCTCTTCTCGTTTTTCATGCCATAGTGAGATGTTTTATTATTTTTGGGTTTTGAGGTATTTTAATATAAATAAATTAAATTTCTATTGAGTAAAAAAAGATTTTTTTTCCAATTTGCTGCCAGCCTTCGGGCTCGGACCTGGGCTTTGGGCTTTATATGAGGACTGGGCTCGGGCTTTGGCCTGACTGTATTCTGTTAATACAGAGATAAAGCCTGGCCTGAATCCAGCCCGGCTTGGTCCGTGAACAGGTCTATTTCCTTTTGATGCATTTGCCATCGTTATTACTAATTGACTGCCTAACATCTTTTAGTTCTGAATTCTAGGTACCTAAATAATAACTTTCTGACGGGAGGAATACCGGCACAGCTTGCGAACTTGACAAACTTGGAAATATTGTAAGTATACTAATTCAACTCAACTCTATCTACTTGGGGTACCTTTTGTATCTCTATTTTAGCAATTTTCCAGTTATCTCGTGATTGGAAAATTAATTTCTTTTTTGGTTACAGGTATTTATCTTACAACAAGATGTCTGGACCAATACCTTCAGGGCTTGCCCATATTCCTCGGTTGACTTACTTGTGAGTCTTTTTATCCACATCAGAATCTACTTAGGTTTCAGAATCAGTTTCTTGTTTGAGAATAAGCAGAAGAAGATATATTACAAGTGACTAGGAAATATACAGCATCAACAATAACAGTCCTTCAATCATGATGTGCTTATTTTTTGATGGAGGTTTTCAGCGAGGCTTGATCAAGAGAACTTAACTGTGGTATCTCATTTGCAATTTGCTGATGATACAATGATTTTGGGAGAGTGTAGGGATGTTCAGGAGGTGAGAGCTCTTGGGGGAATTTTGGAGATAGCGGAAAGAGTGTCAGGTTTGAAGGTTAACTTGGCAAAATGTATCTTGGTAGGTCTACAAATGGGGAAAAGAGAGTTGGAGGAGTGTGCTACGGTGTTGGGTTGTGCAATTATGCATTGGCCTTTGAGGTACCTTGGCCTTCCTCTAGGAGGCAATCCTTGTGATGAGTTCTTTTGGGAGATAATAGTTGAGAAGTTTTTAGGAAAATTAGATAATTGGAAAAAGAATTACCTCTCAATAGGTGGGAGATTCACTTTGATTAAATCAACATTATCCATCCTACCTATCTACCTTTTGTCAGTCTTTAAAGCTTCCATGGAAGTTGTGCAGAAAATTGAAAATAAAATATTAGGGATTTTCTTTGGGATCTGAGAAGTGAGAAGAGAGATCACCTTTTAAATTGGGAGCAAGTTTGCAAAAATAAAGAGAAGGGAGGCTTGGGTATATGGAAGTTGAAGGATAAAAATATGGCTCTTCTAGGTAAATGGTTATGGAGATTCCCTAATGAACCTGAGGCTGAGGCATTGTGGCATGTGGTTATTAAAAGCATTTTTTATTGGAAACGGTAACTTCATTAACACAAATTAGGATACAACTGTTTAAAGCATCTGTGGGCTTCACCTAAAGGGTTGGGATTCTGATCTTGTCAGAGATTCCACTCTAAAAAGTCCATGGAAAGCAATTATGACCTTACTCCAACCTTTTCACGATATATAAGGTACAATGCTATTTCTGGAACTAAGGTGAAGTTTTGGGAAGTCTTCTGGTAAGAAACATCTGCCTTCATTCAAGCTTTTCCAAGAATCTATAACCTCTCTACTCTCAAAAATAAACATATTGCTGACCTAGTAACACATGGTGGAGGGATTTGGGTTTAACAAGAGCCTTGAGAGAGCAAGAAATGGATGAGATGACTTCTTATTTTTGATATTCTCCAACAAATAAGTTTTGATCCTTTAGAGGTGGATGACAGAGTGTGGGAACCTAATACTAATGGTGTTCTCTTGTGCCTCTTTTTTTTTTCCAAATCTTTCAATGTCAATTTTGCAAATTAAACCCATGCCTCCACTTCTAATTATGGTATCTACACATTCACAAGTGGTTAGAACCTCATCAAGAATCTGCCTTCCACAAAAGCCATCTGGGTCAGGGCCGTCAGGTCAACACCTCCTTTAGCACCTTTTTGAGTTTCCTAACTAGAACTTTCGCCAATAGCTTTGTATTGGCTTGGAATGAGACTAACCAGTCTGAAATCTCCAAGTTCGCCAATAGCTTTGTATTGTCGTGTGAATATTGCTGGTTGACAACAATTAGAGAAGGTGATACAATGTGATAATATAAAAGGTGTTATGTAGTGGGTGGTATCTCTAAACAAAAATTTGCAATCTTACATATAACAACCATATATTGATTTTCCAGGTTGGTGTGCTGCCTAGTAATTAGAACCTTCTGGAGGGGATGATTACCATCTCACATGCAGCTATTGTTTGAAGAGCAACGTGCCCCAAAACTGTGATCCTAGAACATAATTCAGGGACAAAGGATCCATGGTTGGGCCCGTTGGGGTAATCACCCCTAAGAAATTTGAACCCAATTCATCCACACACACACAATAAAAGAGCCCATCTTTGGAGTTAAACCACCTCAAGAAACTTGCATATGCTACATGAGTGTGTAGGATTGGTATGGCTGGTAGGGTCCATTGGGTCGGAGATGTGATATGCAACAGTGTATTATCATGTACTACAAATGGCATGGAAACGTGTCTAATAATTATGCACTTATTCTTTGTTGGTGGAATTTCAGGTATTTGGACCACAATCTATTTTCAGGGAGAATTTCAGATGCATTCTACAAACACCCTTTCTTGAAAGAAATGTAAGCTTCCTTTTTAACTTGAAACGGAACAACTGGTGTCCTTTTTAAAACTTAATACATGATAATGATTTTTAATCCGATGTCTGGACGCACAGGTATGTTGAAGGAAATGCATTCCGGCCAGGTGTAAAGCCAATAGGTGTTCACCAGGTCCTTGAACTATCAGACACAGAGTTCTTAGTTTAGCTAAACTATCTTCATATTCTTTATTTGTTTAGGGATGTTTTAGTATTTTTTGTAGCACAAGATTAGGGTTCTTGAATGAAATGGGGAATTTGTTCCTATGTGCTTCTTCAATCTTCATCCTGTCGAAGGACTGCCTTATAAAATATCCTTGGCTGGTCTTGGTGTAGTTAAGAAGAAAAAAGCTGCTTGTATTGTATATTAACTTCATATAAATATAGATGTAGTTCATATTGGAATAACTGAACTTTTCTTGTGCTGGGGGGGATGAAGTGTTCGTGTGAGTCTATCAATGCATAAACGGAATCCTGATTACTACTTCAAAGCGCGTCCAAGTGCTTAACGGTGTGCTTTAAGTTGTAACAAAATCCAGGAGGTTCTTATCTACCTTGAGTCCTGATCTGTTGCATTCTGTCCTGCACTTCCATTCAGCTTGTGTCAGGTTTTTCCGTTATATGTGTGGTTTCATATGATCATATCGCAGCCATTACTATTTGTAAGAAAATATTTATGCATGGTGCTGTTTGGTTTCATTGATCGGTGCTGTTTGTGAGAAAGTATTCCAGATGCATTCGACCAAATAGGATCGGATCTCAGGTCTCCGATTCATTTGCACCCTTATCACCGGTGATGGTCGAATCCTCTTTTTTCCCTCATTCATTCCTTTTTTTCCTTTCTCTCTTTCATTTTCTTTTTTCCTTCTTTTCTTCTTCTTTCTTTCTCAGCAGACAACCACAACCTTTCTCATAAAAACTAAAAGTCTAAAAGATTAATACCAAACAAACATTTGCCCTAAATAAACCACCTAAACCATTAGACCCGGATGGTTGAACCAGTGACTACAGCGGTTCTGTTTTCAGGTCGGTTTTTAAAATCTTGGTTCTGTTTTCAGGTCGGTTTTTAAAATCTTGGTTCTGTTTTCAGGTCGGTTTTTAAAATCTTGGTCATAAATGATGGTTTTTGAGATGGGCCATTTTTTTATTAAAAAAAAGGCAAAGCATTTTTTTTTTGACGTGTTTTGAAAAAACAGCTAACCAAAAGGCATATGCCATGTGTTTTTAGCCGTTTTTTCAAAATCTATATGGCTCCAATTCTCCGAACAAACAGGATTTCCTAGAGATGTGTGTGGCTGCAATTCACGGCGAGTAAAGGGTGGATAAAAAAAGTGAGTAGAAAATTTGGGTTCTTCTCAGAAGTGTTCTATTTTGAGAAAACGGCATCGGAATTAGACATTGTCTTTTAACTCTGTATAACAAATTAAGCACTTAACGTATATAGGTTTTCCAGCGAATTTAATGGTTTATATCATGAATGGCGATGGCTGTTTTTGGGCTTTCTCCAAATCCAGATATCATTTTCAGTACTCAGCTTAATGGGGAGGTGGAGCCCTGTTGTAATGCCATCATACCGCACCACCCAATCCAGATTCACCTTCACTTCCAGCCTTACGAGTGAGAGCCTTTTGTGTCTTGGGGCAAGTAACCTTGTGCTCGCTCGTATCATGTTTCTCGGTGTCGCCATCAACAAAGCATAAAGTATGATGTCGTTGAAGAGCAGCCGCGATTTGAGATTTTTGTTAGCATGGATGGGAGTTGATGCCCGCGATGAAGTAGACCAAGTTGTGGTCGGTTTGGAATGAGCCAATGAGGGAAGATTCAAAAGACAAGGATTTAGAATACTTACTCAAGTCGACAAGTCAAGGAGGTCAAGAGGGGTGTATTCATTTCTTTTCTCTATAAAGATTGTTACAGGAAATCATGAGATCATACATGGAAGATAACCCACAGATGTTAGTAACATTAGTTACAGCCAGTTCGCTTTTTCATGAGATGGTGAATCCGGAGAGAAACCAAAGTCAGCCAGCTTTACTTCTGTATTGGATTCATAAAGTCATACGGGTTTGGTGGCTGTGGGGCTTTGTTTGTTCAAATTTATGATTTATGATCACCATATGATGCTTCGAACTGATCGTGGTTTTTAAAACCGAATTGGTCGGGGTCCGGTTATCGGTTTGAACAGTCTGACCGTTTGACCCGAATGATCGGCCCATTCTGATAAAAAAATAAAAAAATTAAAAAACGGTCAAAACCATTCAAACGATTAATCGACCGATTTAACGGTTTACTGACCAAAATCAACGGTTTGAGAGGAAAAAGCAGTTTTCGGACTGTCCGGTCCGGTTTTGAAAACCATGGAACTGATCACTGGACTGGCATTATCCATCTTCAAGAAAATATTTGATCATACTCCAGGAAAACATTGTTGTATCATGGATCTAACAATAGGAAGCATTGAAATTTATTAATTATTGGTACACTGACTATGTCTCTCGATTACTAATCACATGTTAGGAATGAATAGACTTGCTCCAAAAATTCACTTGGGATTTTAACTCATACCTCTACCACATGAAATGCATAACATGGACTAAGGGTAAAACCTCATTCTGACAATTGTGGGGTTCAAGTCTGAGACTCTAAGATTGCCCATTTCATGCAGGAAAATGCTGCAGTCTGACAAGACCCACCTGTATTAGAGTAATGGGCCTTTGTGAAATAAAATCCATTCACTACAGGAATTCAGCTTGCACTATTTGAATTACAATAGACCTGGAAGTGATTGCCTATTCAACTGACTGAAGATTGCCTCTGTATTTAAGTATTGGATCTTCCCTTGGATATCCTTGTTAGGAGCAGGACCGAGATATATACCAAGCTTTTGACCGAGATCCCATTAAGCCTTCAACCCATGGAAGATAAGTAGTATCTGTATGTCCATTCTTGGAAGGCATATTTCTTTATTTATTTTTTGATCAATCATATTTCTTTATTTAACCCGCATTGCCAAATCTTCCAATCTATTACTTGTGAACTCTCTCTGCAAGTCAAAACTGATCAGGTAAAAAAGGAAGCAGAAGTCAAAACCAAACAATGAGAAGCAGTGGAAACAGCTGAACTCTCTCATTGAGGGGCTTCCTACCATGGTTTTTAAAACCGACCCGGAGAACGAACCGGTCAGGGGTCCGGTTCCCTGGTCGAACGGTTAACCGCCTGGGTCAGCAGTTTGCTGACCAAAATCAATGGTTTTTGGAGAAAATCCGGTTTTGGGGGAAAACGGAACTGGTCACCTGACCAGTTCCCGGTTTTTCCAGTCCGGTTTTGAAAACCATGCTTCCTACCATTAACCTATTTATCAGTCTACCTTGTGGAGGAGCTGGAAGCAACATGTTCCCAACCATATATCAGGATGGGTTTGGGATCTATAACGAATGATTATTAGTGAAAGAGGACTAGAAGCCAGGAAAAGAAGATAAACATTTACTAGTTGAGAAAAGGAGTAAGAATCTGAAAACTTAATTTTTTTTGTAAATAATTTGAAAACTTTATTAACATATATACATAACATAGAAAATGCAAGAATTAGATTACATATATTTTCATAGATAAGGGGCCATTGCTTGGTGCAGTATCTTGGGATAACAAGTTGAGAATGAAGGTTCTAGTCCGAGAGCAGCCGTGTTGTGCAATTGGGTGTTTGGTCCATTTACATTTTATGGTCCACCCCTCCCAAGGTCCCATGGGACCAGCGCATTGTGAAATGGCCTTATATTTTCATAGATAAAATATGATGGATGGAGATGGAAGGATGCAAGACTTAAAAAATAAGCTATATGTCAACTTACCACAGTTCTCAGTGGCATGACAAACACGTAAAGGTGTAAGCACAATGCTTCTGTGGCTTGTGTTTAAAGAACCTTCACAGGTTGAAACTTCAAGCAGTTCTTTTTGAGCTATAATTTTCAACAAAGCAAAATGCTCCACAGTAATGGACCTTGTAAGCAAATTTCTTGCATTTGCTACTCAGTAGCTGAGCTTAAAGGCTTATGGTGATGTTCCATCAGTTGATCAGTTTGGATTGTATTCCAAATGCTTGTTCATCTTCTCCAATAGTTCATGTATCTCATCCATCTGCAGGTGTGCTTTCTCACCTGCAATAAATTCATGAATAAACCCATTTATCTCGATTGAACTGCAACCTGGTGTCTTTTCAATCCCTCTCTTTTTCATCATCATTCTTACTGTTCTGGCATCATTGTAGTTTCCAGCAGCTGCATACATATTTGAAAGTAGAACATAGACCCCACTGTGGCGTTCCAATTGTACAAGTTGCTGTGCTGCAAATTCAGCTAGTTGGGTTTTTCTCTGATTACAGCAAGCACTCAATAATGCCCTCCATGCAATCGCTTTTTCATATGGGCTACTTGAATTAGGGATTCCCTGGATGATTTCCTTTGCTTCTTCAAAAAGCCCAGCCCGACCAAGAAAGTCAATAATGCATCCATAATGTTCACTTTTGGGTTCAATACCATATACTGTACTCATCTTCTTGAACAGATGCAAACCTTCATATGCCATGCCTGAATAGCTACATGCAGTAAAAACAGCAATGAAAGTGATGTCATTTGGTCTGAACCCAGACTTCTCCATCTCTAAGAACAGCTTTAATGCATTTTCTCCATCTCCATGCACTGCCACTCCTGAAATCATTGCATTCCAGCAGATAGTATCTCTTTGTTGCATTCCATCAAACAGTTTTTTGGCTATATCAAGATTTCCACATCTAGCATACATGTCTATAAGAGCAGTGCCCAACCGAATGGTCAATGGTAACCCAATTCGATCCAAGTATCTGTGAATCCATATACCAATATCCAGAGCTCCTAAATGAGCACATGCACAAAGAACACTTACAAAAACGGCCTCATCAGGTTCCAAGTTTGTCAACTGCATCATACGGAACATTTGCAGACCCTCCTTGAAACAATTATTCTGCACATACCCAGAGATAATGGATCCCCAAATTCCTCTATCCTTCATTGGTGCCTCATCAAAGATTAACCGTGCTGTGTCAATGTCCCCTTGTCTTGCATATCCAGATATCATTATGGTCCATGATACTGCAGTTCGGTGAGGGATTTCATCAAATATGCGTGCTGCTGCTTCCATCATACCACAGGCTGAATACATGAGAATCATAGTATTACCAACAAAAATATCAAATAAAAATCCCAGTTTTAAACCATGCACATGGATTTGTTCACCTAGTACAGAGTTTTGTAGGTTCTTGCAGGCCTTCAACATATAAGGAAGTGTATAATTATCAGGGTACAGGCCCTCTTGCAACATCCGTGTGTATACTTTGATGATCTTGATAAGCTCTCCTTTCAGTAGGAAGGCTTTGATCATGGTGTTGCAGATGCACATAGTAGGTTTTTCAATTCGTTCAAATATCTGCAACGCATGATTTAGGCTCCCATAGTGCGGATTAGAGCAGAAGGCCAAAACCCTGCTGAGAGCAAAGTTGTCATTCCCAAGTCCGTTTGTGATTATCTGTGCATGTGCTTGTTTTAGCTGCTTCATATTCGTACATTTCTCTAACAGTACGAGGCATTTTCTACTCTTTGACATGGAAAATTACAATTGGATTCCAGAAGTAGAAGAAACGTGGAAAGGTCAGGATGGACAGAAGCAAACAGAATGGTTTATGCTATTCTGGAACAAGAAACACTGTGAAAAGCATGATTTCATCCCAAGAGACATGACCTTGGGAGCTTAGCTAGCTGTCAGATAATTATCCCCTCCAGGAGACTAAGTTAGCACTTAGCAGTAGTAGGGACGACAATATTTTGCATTGAAAAAAACTCAAATGAGCAAGAATGATGTAAGAGCCACAATCTATCATAAGTCCGAACTTACTTCAAACAAGTGTGGCTCAAGTTTGTAGGCACTCCAGTTCTGTTGACATCTTCACCTAAGAATATAGCAGGTATAGCTTGCCTTTTACTTGGAGCTGTAGTGTAAAAATCCTGCTAGAACCATGTTCAATCTGAATTATACTTCTGAATGTCCAAATTCGAACTCCCCACTACTCCCCCCAATTTCCAACTGATTTTTGAGGTGAAAAAGTAGTGAGAAAGCATGCCGAGAAACTTAATCCCTCTTGAAATGACAGAATAAACATGGAAATCAAATAAATTAAATGCACCCAAATGGAACGAAACCAGAGTTCCAGTTGTTCACAAAAGGGTTCCCATCAAATAGAAAGCGAAGAAGAAAGGGAGGAAAGGATGGCATTGGAAAAATACCAATGCCCCACGTCATATCGAGGTTAAAAGGCATAGCCTTTTCGCAGAATCTAAATGTGTGAAACCATTGGAAAAATACCCCACATAAGAATGAAGCAAGTGTACAAAATCTTTTTTTTGGTAAGGAGTAAGTTACTAAAGACAAAGAAAGATTACACAGATGAAGGGGGAGTCATCCAATTTGCCAGCCACAAAGGTAGGGCTTCTATGTAATAACCACAGTCCCAAAGACCCATTTTTGCAAGATTATGGGTTAACAGATTGGACTCCCGCCTAGCCAAAGAAAAAGAAATGTTCAAGTCTTTACATTCTTCTAGAATATCTTTATGAAAAAAAAAAAGCTTCAAAAGCATAAGATGGATCTTTTGCGATTAGTGCTTGAACCAGGGATTTATTATCACTTTCTATCACAAAAGGACCTTTGTTTAGCAGTTTCCCTAGCTTCACTCCTTGGAGGCAAGCAAATGCTTCTACTTGGGTGCGAGAAATTGCATATGAGTGGCCAAAAGATACACCTTTCAACAGACCCAAATGGCTTCTTGTCGCTACACCAAAACCTGCTTTCCCTTCACACAAAAAGCTGCCATCCACGTTTATCTTCAAGAAGTTTGATTCTGGGGGGTGCCACGAAATGGTTGATTCAATCAACTCAGACACTTGCAAAGTACCTAGCCATTCTTTCAATAAAGTCATCTTCCTCTCCTTCTAGGCTCTGTTGAGATAGATGAGATTTTTGTAAGGGTTAGACAGTTCATTATCAAAACAAATTTGTTCCCACATTTCCAAATAGTCCACAACAAGAGGGCCAAGTAACTTAGGAGCTCTTCTGTTTTGTCTCTCCTTTGACTGCATAGAATTATCCATTCCAGCAACCAAATGGAGAAGTCATTTGGGACATTCTCTGATCTAAGACCCAAAATTGATCCGAACCAGAGAAACTTTGCATGATCGCATTTAAAAAGTGCATGTATAATCGTTTCTAGCTCTTTTTTGTAGAAAGGACAATAAATAGGTTGGGATATCTTCTTGTTGACTAGGTTCACTCTGATTGCAATCGAATTCCATAAACATCTCCAAATGAAATATTTAATTTTAGGATTAGTTTTTAATTTCCACAGCTCCCTCCAGGCTTCTCTGTTTTGATGAAGGCTATTGTTTGGCAGGTGGTTTGAAAGAGGGGTGGGGGAATCAAACCTTTCTCTGCTTGCTATGTAGTAGGCTAACTTGACAGAGAATCTCCCAGAAGATTTTCCTTTCCAGATTAGCCTATCCTCCCAATTTCCTGAAGCCAAAGGATTTTTTTTTTTATTTGATCTTTTATCTCTTTTGTGAAGTTAGCTTCCAAGATGGCAGAGTTCCAACACCTTCTATCTTGATCTATTAGATTTTTGACCCAAAAGGGCCCATTGTTTCTTGGATTAGGCCCCATTAAACAGAAATCTAGCAAACCCTTTAACCAAGTAGGATGCTTTGCCTAGAAATCTAGCAAACCCTTTGATCCAAAACTGACTTGATCCTCGGAATTTACTTCCCAGAAAGCTCATTTTTTCAGAATTTCTCTTCCTAGTAGGATGCTTTGCCATCCCCAAGAGTGTCTGTGTGAGAATTCATCATTTAAAAAGTTCTTCCTTTTAACATATTTTGCCTTGATAACTTGACACCATAGATTATGCTCTTTTGTACAAAATCTCTAAGCCTGTTTGGCTAAAAGAGCTTTGTTGAAGCAATGAGGGTCTTTAAAACCCAATCCACCATCATTTTTGTTTCTACTAATTGTTTCCTAACTGACCGAGTTGATTTTCTTTTTATCCTGAGAGCCCCACCAGAACTTTCTTTGGGCTTTTGCCACAAATAATCTTAGGGATCAAAAAGCAAGATATGGTGTAGTTTGGGATGACAACTACTAGTGGTTTTAGAAGAACTTCCTTTTCTCCATTTGAAAGGAGAAGTCCATGCCATTTAGAAGTTTTGGATTGGATTCTTCCTAGCAGATAATCAAACAACACTTTTTTTGGTCTGTCAATTTCTGTAGGTAGGCCTAGATAGATGTCTGGGTGTTCCACCTTTTTAATATTTAGTCTTCTTGTCATTATCTTTTGCAGTCTTGGGTGAAAATTTATGCTAAAGAAAACCTCAGATTTTGAGAAATTTACCTATTGACCAGAAGACCTTTCATACAACTGAATTGCCTCCACCAGATATTGACTTTCAGATGGTTTTGCCCTCGTGAAGAGGTAGCTGTCATCTGCAAAAAAGAGGTGGGATATTACTGGACAATTCTTGTTTAGTTTCACTCCCGATATTTTCTTCTGAATAACAAGGTGGTGAAGGTATGTAGAGAGTGCTTTAGACACAAACAGGAACAGGTAGGGGGATAAATGGTCTCCTTGCCTAATTCCCCTTTCTGGATGGAAGGATTTCCTTGGAACTCCATTAACAAGGATTTGGTATGACACTGTTGATATGCATTCCATGATCCAATTTACCCATTTGTCCCCAAAACCAATCTTTTTTAGCACCCTCTCTAAGAAACTCCACTATACTCTATCATATGCCTTGCTCATATCTAGTTTAATTGCCATCCAGACTTTTTTCCCTTTGCATTTTTTCATATAGTCAATTATTTCATGGGCAATGAGTATGTTGTCATGAGTTTATTTGCCTGGAATGAAAGCACTTTGATTCCCACTGATAATTTTGTACAGTAAAGTTTTAACTCTATTGACCAGGATCTTTGCTATGATTTTGTAACTGGTATTGTAGAGACTGATTGGTCTGAAATGGCTTGCTTTAGTGGGTTGCTTGACTTTAGGGATTAGAGTTATGAAGGTCCTATTTAATTCTTTATTTAGTTTGTTAGAGTTGAAGAAATCTGAGATGGCCTTGCACAGCTCTAGACCTACAATTTCCCAATTTTTTTTGGAAAAAAATATTATGGAAACCATCAGGTCTCGGAGCTTTAAGGGGAGCCATCTGAAACAAGGCTTCTTTAATTTATTCATCTTCTAGGTTCCTTTCTAGCCACCTACTCTCTTCTTTAGAGATTTTCTTGTTCAGAACCTCCTGGATTTCATCCGGACTCTAAGTGCCTGAAGATGTGAAGATAATTTCAAAATGATTGATTAGGACCTCTTCTACTTGGTTTTCCCCTTCCACCCAAATTCCTGGTTCATTTTCCAAACTTAGGATCTTGTTTCTACTTCTTCTTTTCATTGTTTGGGCATGGAAAAATTATGTATTTTTGTCCCCATGTTGAAGCCAGTTCACTTTGGATTTCTGGCCCTACATTTGTTCCTCCCTAGAGAGCCAAATTTCCAATTCTGCTTCCAAGGTCTTTATTTTATCATCATTTCATTGACTCTCCCTATTCAGCTCAATCTCGAGATTTTTTAATCCTACCAATGTTATTCTGCACATTCCCAAAGACCTCCCAGTTCCAAATCTTCAACAAAAACACAATTGATACCATAGAGTACATACAACTAACAACTAAACACAAGCATCACACCTAATAGCCCTAATTATCAAGCAAACATAACCGAAATAAAATTTGTTTCAGACTTTCAGATTCAGAGAGAGAGAGAAGGGTCAAGGGTGAACCGCAAAATTTGGGACTTAGGCGGAGTTTGAGAGTGCTTATTTGGAGAATAAGTGGTAATTGGTAAAAAAGCACTTATCATGGGGGTAGTATAGGTATTTTTAAAATAATATGGCAGGCCAGTACAGGCTAAAAAAGAAATAAACACTTAAAAATAAGCCTAAATTTTGAACTTCTTAAGTGTTTATTCTAAAAAATAAGCCAACTGAGAGATGGCTCAATTGGTATGTTGGTTGGTTTGTCCTAAACTCCTAGTAGAGATATGGATTCGGTTCCTTCAACTACCAATTTTGGGCATATCACCAAAATACCAAAAAAAAAATGAGAATAAGTATTTATTTGGGCTTATTTCCCAAATACAAACAAGTAATTATTGGTGTGGTTTCAATCCAAAATAAATGCTTATTGGAATAAGTACTCTCAAATTTAGTCTTAGACGGTTAGACCTAACTAGAGTTTATCATTTTTGGCCCGGGCCCTGAAGCCCACATATTCTGGTCCGGCCAGGGCCATGATCACCTCTTATCCAATTACCCGAATTGGAAATATATCCAGATACAATTACAAGGGTCTAGATCCAGATACCTTGCAGCTTGCACCCGGATCATATTTTAGGACCAGCCAAGAATTGGACGAAAAAACAGACTAGGTCGGGACTTGCAAGAGGCAAGGGGCCCCCTTTAATCTGATCCAAACATTAAACAGGTCCAAGCTACTGTGTTTCAAAACCATTTCTATTTTTTAGAATTTACATAGTAGCATTACATATTGGAATCATTATCTTTTTGTAGCTTTAGAGCGGTGCAAATGACAAATCTCCTGGTGGGTCCCGATCTTTTTTCTTAATGTTCTTACAACATGAGATAGCTCCAATTTCCAAGTACCCGGCCGGCCCCACTGATACCAATGTGTGGAGCAGTGGAACCACTTAAGTCATTCAGTTCAGCTATTTCACTCGTAACCAAATGGCCCCCTAAATTTGTCCTCTCTTTTTATTTTTAATATAAAGCATCCGGCTTTTAAGGGTGGATTCGAGTCGAACCAAATCGAATAGTATGAGGTTTGAATTTGGCTTACCAAGATAATACAAGTTGAATTCAATTCGAACTAAAATCTTGAACTCAAATTCAACTCAAGTCAAAACCTTTCTTCATTTCACAAATTCATAATATATTCTCTTACAATTAGGATAATGAGTTTTGAAGAAATTCAAATATTAACTTGATCTAATGGAAGTGTTTATTTCAGAATCATTACTGTAATAAGCTAATGCCCATAAGCCATAATTATTTCAGGAGCAAGCACATGAAGTTGCAGCAGACAATCAAGAAGTGGAGGGGCCAGAACAATTGATGGCTCCTTTAGACTGGTGGCTCAAGATTAATACAGGATGGAGCATTTCCTAAAGAAAGGAGCACTTATATGGAGCATATTATCTCAGTGGAAGCAGAAGAAGCTGAAGCTGCTCTGCACAATTAGGCTTTTACAGAATAATTTAAGCCCTCTGTTATTGAACTGGACAATAACACTGCTCTCAATAGTTCATGAAATGAAGCTCCAGAGAAGGTTTAAATGTGGTGGGGATTCAGTTCAGGTTTCCTAATGCCTTATCCCAACATGCTCTCAATCTTCCTCCTAATACTGTCTCTTCACAGATGGGTTGGTGGGGCCTTGGCCTCAGTAACTACACCAATGATCAACCCCAACAGCTATGAAGGAAAGATGTGTTTCTTTAGAATACAAATATGACACAGATTACAAATTACAAATGCATGTAAGAGAAATGATTTGAAAAGCATGTGCACAGATGTGACCCTCTCTGCTTAAAAAAACATTCTTTCTAACCCTAGTACAGGTGTCCAGTGAGGTTGCATTTGAATGGCTGACAGCTTGGTTGAGCATGCGAGCATGTGGTTTAGAAAGCCCAACATATGGAGCCCATTTGTCACACTAGACCACTAGTGGTCATGAAAACCTGTTATTCCTTTTATAAAGATGGATTCCAGTGGGCTGGGCCTGCCACTATTAACCATTCTAAGGCCTATTCCAATTTAAGGAAAATCAGGGCTTGAATTATTCATGTTTGGCCTGAATTTACACCCCTAATTGAGAGCCTCTGCAATGTGGGGTTCTTAACTACATTGTCATGACTCTTTGCTTCAGCACCCATTATATCTGCAATATAGGCAGTTGGCCAACTCCTGAAACAAATGGTGAATTTTAATAATTTGATTTCTAGACTTTACTTTTACATGTTGGAGTATTAATAAAACCTTTCTTCATTTGATTTTTCTTGTTTTGTAACTTCATTTCATCATGTCATGTAAGCTTTGTCCCAACTATATGGGGTCATGTACATGAATTTTGCTTTTTGTTCAGTGCCATATCCAAGATTGTGGGTGCTTAAACCATTTCATTTTATTTCTATCCTAGTTCTTTTCAGTCTGATTTATCTCTTCTAGCCCTTTCAATTTGTAATATATCATTTTTTCTAGCGAGTGCTGTATGTATGTGACCAAATCATTTCAATCTATTTTCTCTTATTTTATAATTTATTATAATTTTATTGTATTTTTTTGAGAATAAATCAGTTCTCTTCTTGCTTTTTGAAGCTAAAGTGTAATATAAGAAAATTTATCACTTTGGCCGAATTTGGCCTTCTATCCAATCGACCCGAAATGACCAAACTGATTATAGCGATTCTGGTTCCATGATTTTGTCCCAATTAATAATTGGGTCGGTTCCATTTCTTGCCTGCCCCAAACCGATTCACACCCAAAAGCAATAATATTATCGAATATGTATGATGTTTTCTTATAATTTTTATCAAATTTTATGTTTGAAATGTTAAATTTGATAGACATATAAATAAGTTAAAAATATTTAATTTATTAACATATAAATAAGTTAATATTTTCTAATACTTTTATTAATGTTATATTGTCAAAGTTTAAGTTTTAAGTTATTATTTATATAAACAAATATAACTTTCCGTATAACCGGGTCTATTGGATCCAGACCCGATAGACTTGACTATTAGGACTGTTGTGAGTCTCTGATTTTATTCCAATTAAAGTGGTTCTACCTGACCATACCTGACACGTTGACAGCCCTAGGCCTAAACCAAACCGAACAAGTAATGGGTTTCTTTAAAGATGCTTTGCTTGAAGTCAAATAAATATAATAGTAGGATAAAAACATTTTAATCCCTTTAGCAAAGTGTTCTAAATTGACTTTGAGAGTGGTTACCTCCTAATTAGAACCAAATTATGGACACTTTTAATCAGGGGACATTATATACGGGTTTAAGATAGGCCTTCCATTTTCTTCCTATATATCTCCCAAACCCATCATATATAACCCCCCAACCTTGGTGGCAATGGGATTCAACCCCCGGTCTCAGCTACAACTAGCTAGAGATCCTACCAACTGAGCTACTATCAATTGATCTCTGATTTTGACTATTGATTATTGAATGAAATAATACAGAGAAAATCTATGATGCCAGAAAGACATGACACCAAAAAGACTTTGACCAATCAGCCAACCCCCTGGTGAATTTTGATGAAAACCCACTTCATTGGTTACCACATTTGATCGATGTTGGTTGATTGGTTATTAATTTTTCTAGTATCATGTCTTTCTGGCATCATAATCGAACCCCATAATATGACATGACAGAGAAAATGAAAACAAGTGCATACTTCTAAAAGAATGTTTCCTGAATTTGAAAAATTCAACCATTGCCTCTTGTTTTGAATAATTTTCAGTTTTTTAATTTATTTTTATTTTTTATGCTTCATTATATTGAGATTTCATATAGCATAGAAATGATAAAAATAAAACAAAAGGACGCAAACGAGGCTTACTTGTTAGAGAAATGGCTGAACATAATTATTAAAATAATACTGAAGATTATGAAAGCTTGAAAATACTGGGATATATACCATCTATATTAACAGAAATTAGTCCACCCCTGGTTAAATCATGACAAACATTCTATGTTCTATATAATAAGTAAGAGAAGCCAGAGTAAAAGAAGAAACAGTCTATATACTAGAACCAATAGAATCTCCAAGCCTGATGGCTGTGAGCTTGACTACTATTTTTTTAGCCTCCCCCTCAAAGGAAAAAAAAATGCTATTATTATTATTATTATTATTATTATTATTATTCATTCTTTGATGGGATACCCAGATTAGAATTTTTCTCTACAAGCTTAAAGCCCTTACTACCATTGTATTTGCAGCAATGTCACTCAACTCAATTTATAAAAGATGCTCTCTGGGCTCATTGAACTCATTAAGGACTCCAGATGACTAGATCACCTACAGAAATCTGAAATTCTCACATTTATAATCCATATGACCTTATGCAATTGCAGTGCTGTTACTGGAGGCCCTTTGGTGAAGTGATGATGAAGCGAATTTCATGATTCCATCCAATTTACAAAAGCCAACATCTTGCTCTTTCTTGGCCCAGATAGAAATGTAGTTAAGATGTTCAATGAACTCATTGAACTTCAAGTTGGACTTACTCAATGAGCTTCAGTGAAAAATGTAATTCAAGCAATTGGCAAGGTTCCAAAATTGGGACTACCTCAAATCTCATAAACCTTGATTATATATATATATAATTTCCATCAGAGATGCATTGACATCTTCCCTTGTTCCTTTTTTCACATTACAAAATTAGATAGTACATTACAATGGTTGATGATTCTACCTGCAAAGGGTTTTGGGTCTCTGGATTTTGTTGGCACACTGGATGGACTCTTCTCTTTGACATAGCCAACCCTATCCTGTAAGCTTAGAAAAGAACCTGACCATTTATATATTTTAAACCTAGAAACAATTATGAATTAACTACTTCACTAGTGATTGTCTCCTTGTTTAGACTGACAGATATTGGTATTTTCTCACCAACTGATCTAATCCTCATATTTTCACCCATGGTTTACCAATTCTACTATTCTATTCTAGTCTATAAATATAACACTCCCCCACTCCCAGAGTTAGCTTCAAAAGTTTTCATTTTTCAAACTATATATTGTATACATCATCTCCTTCCCCAAACACCACTCTCTCTCTCTCTCTCATAGACACACTTACACAAAGATATATTTATATTATGGTAAACCTATATTTAGTTTAATTGAAAGCACATCCATGATCCATCCTACTTCACTATCCCCAAATCATCTAAGTCATCTAAATTTAGTAGACCCACCTCACCCGGTCATCTTCCACCCTTTCTTCCCAAAGGGCACAGGCCCAATACACGGTTTTGACTCGAAATAATAATAATAATTAACTTATTTTATTTTATTTTTACAAATATATGTATATATATATATATATATATTTTTAAATTTTAGTTGAAGGAGAAAAGTAAAGAAAAAAGAAAGTCGTCAAAATACAACAAAATAAGAGCTCGGATCGGGATCGGCCGATCAGTTGATCAAAAAGTTTTCCAAAGAAAAGAAAGACAAAATAGAACGAAACAAAGCGCATCTTTGCTTGTTCTCTTTCTCTCTCCCTCACGATCCCGGGTTCTCCATGGGAGAGAGAGAAGAACCTAGTTCGATTTTGTCAACGAATCCTTGTGCCTTCAGCTGAAATCGATCAAAACCCGTCCCTGATCTCCAATGCCGGATTCAAAAAGACCCCAAAGATCCAATTGGAGAAATACCCAGAAGAGATCCCCGTCTCTATCGATTTGTTCTCGTTCCAGTGAATCTGATGGTGAATTTCGCGGCTTTTTTTGGGGGATATCTGAACTGGGTTTCTAGGGTTCTCGTTGCCCTGACGACGAGGAGGCGACAGAGACGACGATGCAGCTTCATTTCTCTCCTAGCATGAAAAGCATCACGATCTCGAGCAGCAATGGGTTTCTTGACTTCATGAATATCAAGGTCGCAGCTCGCCACATCTCTTATCGGACTCTCTTCCATTCGATTCTCATCCTTGCCTTTTTGCTTCCCTTCGTCTTCATTCTCACGGCCGTCGTTACTCTTGAAGGTGTTAATAAGTGCTCGTCGCTCGGTGCGTATTATTATTCTCTTTCACTTTATCTATCGTTGCAAGTATTTCATAATTAAATTGAATAAAAATTAGATCTCTTGTAATTTGTATTTCATACTGTTTACCCCATAAGTAGTAGTAGTTGTTTAGTTTGCTTCAAGATTAGATACTTGCATAAATGGGAGCATTGCAGGTATTATCGGGGTTTGATTTGATTGAAATCGGATTTCTTTTGAATTGCTTTGTTTTGATTTGGATTGAGTTCTATAAGGATTTTTTTTTTCGGGGGGGGGGNGGGGGGGGGGGAGTTTCTTCCGATTAGTTGAATTTGAAGTCAAGCTCTTTTTGTCCATTGGGCTTCTTCCGATTGGTTTGTCTGAACTCCTTAAGGGTTTTGATTGAATTATTAGGTGACAGAATACTTCCTCGTTGTTGAAGCACCAGTTCGGTGGTGATTTTTAACAATAAAACCTATAACTTGTTGGATATGATCCATGTTAACATGTGCCACTTAAATTCTTAACTTCTTATCATTTTGTATTGAAAAAAGTACTAAAAGAAAGCTAATAATGATGACTTCTGGATATCAAACACATTACATCATTAATTTCACAATGCAATATCACATTTAATGATAGAATTTAATTTTCCACTACAAAATACTGATCAATTCCATTCCGAAAAGTACAAAGACATTTAAAATCATAAATTTTCATATAGCAAGTACACAAACAGATAAACAAAGTCAATAGCATGGAGATCCCAAGAAAACGAGTATTTCAACACACCAAATCATTGTTGGTGGGTTATACATATCTTTGCCTTGAATACTCTAGATTGTGTACAGCATCTCCTTATACAACCATGAAATTATCTCTATTCTCTGATTGTGCTGAAACCTCACCTTTTGAACTTGCTTGGGACCTTGGTTTTAGGTGGACCCTTAAAGATTTTGAGAGTGATGAGGTCCTTTCACTCATTTTTTGTTTGAGAGATGTATTTTTTTTCCCTTCCAAATAGAATAGATTCTCGAGTTTTGGCTCTTGACTTTTGGGCCATTTTTCCTGCTCTTTCTTCAAAAATCTTAATACTGCCATTCCCCCCTCCCTTTCGTGTTAATGCCCTTCAGGATGGTCCTAGTCCCTCTAAGATTAAATCATATTTTTGGGAAGCTATGTGAAGATCATCAGTACCAGATAGATGCTCTAGTGCAGGTGAAAAACTTGGATTCTCCCCCTTCATTTGTGTTCCCTTGCCTTAATTCTGGTGATAATGTTAACCATCTCTTCTTTATTTTCTCCTATATGTTGGTTATTTGAAACCACTTTCTCCATTTTTTTCTGGCTTTTCTTGGTCCCCTGCAGTTGACATTGAGGTCTTCTGTGAAACCAACTTTGCTTCTCTTGGCAGTAAGAGGGCAAAGATTATGTGGAGATCTATCAGAGCCACAGTTCTTTGGAGTGTGTTGACTGAGAGAAATTCTAGAATTTTCACCAATAAGAAGATGGAGGTCAGAGCTATTATTGATCTCAATGCAATGAGGATAGCCCACTGGATTTCAACTAGAGAAGAGTTCAGTGGTGCATCCATGGATGGTATTTTGAGGGGCTGGTAAGTATTTGTTGAATTTGCTTCAAGGAGACAACAACAGGCGGATACTGGACTACCCTGGAACATGGGATGATAAAATTTCATTTTGATGGATTCTCTTCCTTGAGGTGCTTAAGTTTATATTTAGGAAGGAAAAGGCTTTGGCTGCCTACTTGTTCACTTGGGTCCACAGAGCAACTAATAGCCTTGCTGATTTTCTTGCTATAGAAGGTGCATGTGAACAAGTGGGAACTTGTTTGGGGGGTTCCAGGTCGAGGGGTTTTTTATTGCAAATTGGTTCTGTTCTTTATTTATTATTATTTTTTGGCTCAGTCATCTATGAGAGGGTGGGCCTTGGCACAACGGTTGGGCTAGTGTTTTAAAAGCACAAGGCGCAAGGTGAGGCGTGCACCTTTTTAAGGCAAGGTGCAAAAATACAAAAGATTGCTAAAAAATAAAAATAAGTCAGAAAATTCAAAAAATGCCAAAAAATTAAAAAAAAAAGCGAAAATAAAAAATATTAAACATAAATATAAACTTAAAATTTAAAATAATGGTTTAAAAACCTATTATCTAAAATTAAAATACATAAACATAACATGTAAAGCATATTCAAATGAAAATTTAAAAATAAAATCAAACATATACAACATTAGCAAACAAGTCCATGTTAAGGTCAAGTAGCTAATGTGATGTAAAACATATTACATTCCTGATTCTACGAGTCGCCTTTGTGCCATGCCCCTCGAGGCAAGCCCAAACAAGTCCATGTTAAGGTCTTAAATTCTTAATTCTCACACAAAAAATAATGATTTTATAATTTTAATTGCCTTTTAAGAAGATATTTTATTAAGATTAATGAATGAACAACATTAGCAAATAGGGGGTTCTTCGCTCACTCACCAAATCTCCAAGAACCCCCAATTTGCTAATGTTGTTCATTCATTCATCTTAATAAAATGTCTTCTTAAAAGGCAATTAAAATTATAAAATCATTATTTTTGTGTGAGAATTAAGAATTTAAGACCTTAACATGGACTTTTTTGGGCTTGCCTCAAGGGGTGTGGTCGGGGGTCCGGGGGTAGAGCCCTCAGCCCAGCTGCTTGGTTCCAAAAAAGTAAAAAAACATGCAATTTTCAAAAGGCGCATGCCTGGGCCAAGGCGCATCAGGTGCACTAGGCGTGTGCCTTTTGAAAGTGCTGCGCCTAGGACCTGGGGGAGGCGCCTATCCTAAAATGCGCCTTGCCTGTGTGCCTAGGCACGCCTTTAAATCACTGGGTTGGGCTACTCCATCTGTCCCTCCCCAGACCCCACATTGGTGGGAGCCTGCCTCATGCACTGGTTCAGTCATCTATGAGCTGTATTTTTCTTTATCTTCTGGATTGCATTGTTCTTGTTCCTTGCCTTTTGTCTCCTACTATTAGGTAACCTTTTTTCAATACTGCTTAATACAAAATCTATTTGATCTGTTTCAATGATGAAAAACAGCAAATTGAATCCAAGAAAGTATTGCAGTAATGAACAACATACTCAATATATTCTCTCTCTATATATTGTAGCGGAGACTTGGGATTGAATCCCGCCTGCACCTGGGTTGGGGTATGGGCTACCCCTGTTGTGTAGCCATTGTAGCAAAAAAAAAAAAAAGAAAAAAAAAAGATAAAGTGCCTGTCTTTCCCTTCCCTTTGCCTATGAAGGTGCCTCACTTGCATGCAGATATGACATGGTACTAAGGCACTCCTCAGAAAATGTCTTGGCACCTACGCAGGCTGCTGGCACCTAGGTGTTGCCTTGATCTATGAACCTTTTTATTTGTTGGTATTGGCTGTGTTCCATGGCATGGTTCTTATCATGTTTTTCTCATTTCTGGGTCTTTGGTTCTACTAAACTGTTTGATTGCTCTTCATTTACAAATTCTTTTGTTCATTGATATATTTTTTTTGAAAAAAGGAAAAGTATTATATTAATCTGAACAAAACATATACAGAATTTTATGCAATAAGATAGTGAGCAGGGAACAGTATTCTCTTTGTACACCACTATTCTGAATGCATAGATACAGAAAGATTAACTAAAGTCAAAAAAGAGTATATTCTTCCCCAAAAACCTTTCATTACTGTATCTTTAGTATTATATCTTAGTATTATTTTTATTTTCAAATTGACCAAACCACTACTGCTGGTATTACTCCCCATATGATCTTCCCTTTTCTTGGCAGTCCTTTTTGCTGCCAACATGATAGCAAATTAGCAACACCTCAAGTCTTTTGGAAAGCATAGTTGTACCTCAGAAAGTCCCAAATATTTTGCCCATAGCTCCCTCACAAACTTGCAGTGGATAAATAGATGGTCCACCTCTTCAGTGTCTTCACCACACATTTACCTGCTTGGTTCCACCATCATCCCTCTTCTAGCAAGGTTGTCTTCTGTTAAACACTTCCCAAAGAGGCTATCCAAACCAAAAAGCTACTTTGTTTGTTGTTGTTGGTTTCATTTTCAATTTTAGTTTTGATTGTTGGGTTGTAGGTTTCAATTTTAATTTTGATTGTTGGGTTCCTTTTTATGGTGACAACAACTTTTCACTTAATGTTGTTATTCCCTTTAACTGACTGATCCTCAATATTGAGATTATATAATCTTCAAACACTAGTATGCTTAAATTTTTTACTCTTTTAAGTCTAGTATCCCCCTGATTTGTTTGGTTTCATATGGTTATTAATTCTTCGGCTGATTTGGTGGTTCAAAATTTTCCTTTGGTGGGCTGTGGGTTGTCATTGGTTTTTTGAAAGACTTGTTTGTGGTAGATCTTATTGTTGCTATATCATTTAGATAGGTATTGTAAAAATTTGTGTCAATCTAGAAGGAGAACTAGACAGTTTTGGGAAGACTCATCACTTGTGTCTCTTTTTCTTTTAATAATCTTTCTTTCTATATATACTTTCAGAATTTCAATATATATGTATTTATGTAAATATTAAATGTTGCTTATCCTTTCCACAATGCCATTAATACACTATAATCATTTTAACTTTATTCTCTCCTTTAGATTGTTTGGGCAGGAGATTGGGACCAAGGTTTCTTGGTAGGGCAGATGATTCAGTGGTAAATATCTATTTCTTACCATATACTTTTGAGTTTGTGATCAAGTTTGTAGCAACATTCCTGAATCCTGATATAGTAGAAAGTTTTTTATTAAGTTCATAGCAACATACCTAATATAGTGATTGGTTGTGTGCAGAGGCTGGTTAAAGATTTATACAAGATACTAAATCAAGTGAGTTCTGAGGAAATCCCAGCTGACCTCAAGCTTCCGGAATCTTTCAGCGAACTTGTCTCAGAAATGAAGAACAACCAATATGATGCCAAAACATTTGCTATCAAACTAAAGGCAATGGTATGTAATCAAGTTACTGAAGTAACCCTTTAATTGTTAGCAAGAATAGGCTTAATGAAGTGGTTTATGGTTTCAAGTAGAAGTCCAAGGGTTATTACAATCATTAATTAGAAAATTTTCCTTGAAGTGTTCTCGTCTTTAATTAATTTACACAATCTTCAAGAGTTCCCAATTGCTTCCTGAAAACCATACTCTCTTTTCCTTTGAGAGTTGTTGCCTCAGAGAGCCAATTAGTTTGAATTGAGATTTGAAACTGTAGAATTAATACCACGAGAAAATTCCAAAGCTCTAGGGCCTGTTTTGATAACAGTATTGTATTGAATTTGAATCTTCATTGAGATGGTATTGATAACAGAGAGCCAATTAGTTTGAATTGAGATTTGAAACTGTAGAACTAATATGTTATCAGTGGCTAACCACGAGAAAATTCCAAAGCTCTAGGGCCTGTTTTGATAACAGCTCTATTCAACCTTAACCAACATGGTACTGTTTCATTCGTTATCATAGTTTATCAAACCATATAGGAAATTCTAGGCAAAATTGTCTTTTAGATATGATGATTTACCAGTGTTACCTAGAATTGTGTAAGTTGTATATAAAATTAAGGAACCAATCTAGAATTTAATTTTTCTTTTAAAATTCTATTTCCTAGAATAGAATGAAAAGAAAATCCTGGGAAATGGCTGACCTATTTAATTGTTTTGTTAGTTTTGGCTTACATATACAAAAGCTCCTTACTGCATATGCTTCACTCTGGGTTCTTTGAAGGCTTTGCGTTTGCCTCTCTCTCTCCCCTCCCCCTTCTTTACTTGTTTCTTTATTTTGCTACTTTTTTATTCATTTTATTTAGCTTTTCTTTCCTTTATGGCTTATTGGAAGATTTTTTGTCTGCCCAGCATCTAGATGTTCCATAGAATTATGTTAGGACATAGTAATTTTTTTTTTTGTGCATTATGTTTCTTTGATGCACATGTGTGTATTTGTTTCAATTAGAGAATATTTATCTTTGCAGATGGAGAAATTTGACAGGGAAGTCAGAGCATCCAAGTTTGCTGAGCTGATGAATAAACATTTTGCAGCAAGTGCTATTCCAAAAGGCATCCACTGTCTCTCTCTGCGATTGACTGATGAATATTCCTCCAATGCTCATGCACGCAGGCAGTTGCCATCTCCAGAGCTACTCCCCTTGCTCTCTGACAACTCTTACCACCATTTTATCTTGGCATCTGATAACATCCTTGCTGCTTCTGTTGTGGTTGCTTCTACCATCCAGTCCTCACTAAACCCCGAGAAAATAGTCTTCCATGTAATCACTGATAAGAAGACTTATGCGGGTATGCACTCATGGTTTGCACTGAACCCTCTCCCTCCAGCAATTGTTGAGGTGAAAGGTGTTCATCAATTTGACTGGTTAACAAGAGAAAATGTACCTGTTCTAGAAGCTGTAGAGAGTCACCATGGAATCAGAAACTACTACCATGGAAACCATGTTGCTGGGGCCAATCTCAGTGAGACTACTCCACGGATGTTTTATTCAAAATTACAGTCAAGAAGTCCAAAGTACATTTCATTACTCAACCATCTCCGCATCTATCTCCCAGAGGTAATTGGATGAAACATGGATCTTTTTCAAGAAGTTCAAGAACTAGGTTTTGAAGTGATCATAATGAGCTTGGCATTGTCTTAGGAATATTTGATTTAGAACAATCAAATGAAGCCATAAAAAAATAAATAAAAACTAATGCTCATTCCATTGAAGCAATATGGATGTGTTTCCTGCATGGTTCTCATTGCAATTCAGGTTTTGAAATAGGGAACACAAAAGAAATTCAATTTTCCTTCTTGGGTTCATGAGTTCATCTATATTTGGAAAATATGCACCTTGTATAAAGAGGGAAAGAAAAGGAAATAGTAAACATGAAGTGACAATCTTTAATAGTTCAAAACAAGGATTATGAGTTGTACATATACCTTGCTATTCACCTGGGCTGTTTTTGTACATATACCTTGCTATTCACCTGGGCTGTTTTTGTTCATATACCTTGCTGTTTTTGTACATATACCTTGCTATTCACCTCTTTGGATGGTAAGGAGATTTCTATTTCTGTAATAAAATTCAAATTTACTGTTGACTATTCTGTACATACATTATATGTATTTTTATATGCATATGTATATATAAGGAATTAAGGATACCTCTTAAGTACTTTTCTTTGGATTATCAAATACCTCCTTGCATTTACATTAGGGGAGAAGATGATAAATACTGAAAGTGGAGAGCTTATAGAAGGTGTTTGAAAAAGAGGGGCTAAGCTTATAGAATGTGGATTTATGAGTGCCTTCTCTTGCTCCATGTATTTTCCCTTTTCTTTTTCTTTTTATTTTGGGGGTGTGGGGAGGGTTAGTGTATTGCTTCTTGGTTCCTGGCCTAATTCTTAATCTTTTCAAGGCTTTCGGTATTGTTGAGGATATTGTACTTTGCATTTTAATTGTTTCTATAACTCATAGCTTACTTTGTTGTGTATTATGAACAGCTGTTTCCAAACCTTGACAAGGTGGTCTTTTTAGACGATGATGTTGTAATTCAGCGTGACCTGTCAGCACTGTGGGAGATTGACCTAGAAGGCAAGGTTAATGGGGCTGTGCAAACCTGTAAAGGTGAAGATGAGTGGGTAATGTCGAAACGCTTCAAGAACTATTTCAATTTTTCTCATCCCCTCATAGCAAAGAACTTAGATCCTGATGAATGTGCATGGGCATATGGGATGAACATTTTTGATCTACGTGCATGGAGGAAGACAAATATCAGAGAGACATATCATTTCTGGTTGAAGGAGGTAAAGGACAAATTCTATCCTCATCATCATTATTGTTAGCTTCCTTTTTCATCTTTTACTTCTACCCCCATGAAAGAAAGAGGCTTTGGGGGGGGGGTCTGGATTGCCCAGAACATCCTTTTCATGGAGTTGCTGATTTCCCAGTTGTAAGCCATCAACTGGAGTGGCCCAACCCATTTTGTGCCATATGCACAGCATAATGGGATGCCATGATAAGGTCATACATCCTATTTACTCAAGGGTACTGGAAATTGGTGGATTTGAGCGACTTTGATCACTCGCCACTGTTTTATGGAGTCCTTTTATCCTGGATTATTTGAGTTCATTCTGCCTAGTTGACCACATGTATATAAACGGGTTATTTGTTCAGAATCCCTCATAGTTCAGCTACAACTGGGATCATTCACTTGACCAAGCTCTCTTTCTTATCACTGTCATTTCTTCTTGATGCAGAATTTGAAGTCAAACTTAACAATGTGGAAGCTTGGGACATTACCACCTGCTCTGATTGCATTCAAAGGCCATGTTCACCCAATTGACCCTTCTTGGCACATGCTGGGATTGGGTTACCAGAATAATACTGACATTGAGAGTGTGAAGAAGGCTGCAGTTATCCACTACAATGGCCAGTCCAAACCATGGCTAGAGGTTGGCTTTGAACATCTCCGGCCATTTTGGACCAAGTATGTCAACTATTCCAACAATTTTATAAGGAATTGCCACATCTTGGAGTCATAATAGATCAAATGAACAAGTGGGAAACAGAAAGGGAGAGGTGACAGAAAGATTTAACTGGGATGGTGGATTCCCGTTAATTTTGCATCTCCTAATTTTCGTGATATTCATTTAAGGAAAACAAGAAATTTGACCATGCGGGTAATACTCTTGGATTCAGATACTCTGCTGTCCCTCCCACTTCTACAGAGAGGACCTGTATTACTGGTGGTCATGGGAAACATTCTTTCAGTCTGTGACATAGCCATCCATGCTTTATTTTTTGGTCAAAGGACAAATACCAAATCTGTCTCCTGAAGGGCATTCAACATTGCCTTATCCTTTGGCAGGAAGAGCGCTAGATGCGCGCACAGGTAGAATAAGGGTAATAGAATACAAGCAGAATTCCGAAATTGGATGTCAGTTGGATATGCAGATATTTGCAAGAAATGGGAAGACTTGTTCTTTTGTAAGGTACCCCTAGATATCTTTCTTCTATTATATTTTTTCATCCTTTTTTTTAATGGTTGAGTCCCCCCATTTTTTTTGGTTCCATATTCATCATTGTGATTCTTAGAAAGTGGTTCTTGGAGATTTGTGTTACGGATCCCATTTGATTGGGAGTTATTCTTAGGTATTTGTTACGCACGATTCATGAGAATATTGAAATGTGCAGATAATTCTCTCTCTCTCTCTCTCCTTTTGCCAGAAATGGCTTTAATTTAAAAATTTACAGCAAAATGTAGAATGCGGGGGCCCGCCAACGGGTAGGCCATGAAGTTGCTGGAACAATGTTCAGCCCACTTTTGTTGTTGATAGATTCCTTCTGGCTTATGCTGGATGGTCGACTGGGAAATGGGAACTTGACAAATACTGGTCGACCTAATATTCGTTTTTGAAAGCAAATACTGATTACCCAACATTAATCAACCAGGATTATCAGCTCAAAGGAGAAAAGTGCTCGAGGCCTGGAGGTCGACGGATTTTGTCTTCGTCTCGAGGCCTCCAACCTTCGAATAATTTGCTGATTTACTAAGTAGCTGAAATCCCACATTGGGTGCCTACATTCATGTTTCATCTCAACACATTGCTCGTAGGAGAAAACTGACCGAGTCTGGTTGGAGCATCTCAACACATTGCCTTCTCTGTAAATGTGTTTGCTATCCACTTCCCCTTCCATGGGTAACCGCCATGAAATCTTACCCTCAATACCAGAAGCCAAAGAGATGCTAGTAAGCAGCATCCATTATCAGGGGCAAACCCCAAGGTCAGCTACACTCAATTTGTTTAGCCCTGTGAAAAGGCCATCCATTGAGGAATTCTCGCATCTGTGCCTCACAGCATATCCCAATCGTGTATTGAGAACATATTCCAATGACAAATACGGAAACATTCCCTACGGATGTGAGATGTCCCACAGCAAATATCCCAACCGTGTATTGAGAACATTTTCCAATGACAAATAGGGGTGATGTTCAATGTGCATGTGGGAAGCCAATGCGAGCTTATGAGAGCGTTTAGGTCTTGTTTATATCCTTAATGTCGTATACAAATATTGACTGATTGAACCTGACTCTCATCATTGCAGTAGCCACAAAAGGGCACTTCTGAGAGCCTTCTCCTTCCATATATACAAGTTTTCCAGGTGTCTGGAATTACAGCAAAAAGGGCACTTGTAGCAGGCTAGTTGACATGTTGTCCTCAGTCCTCACCTCACCTCGGAGCACTTTTCATTACTTTGCATGCATCATGAAACGAAACGAAATGACATCTTTTTCCTTATGTTTTTCTTTTGGGTTCAGTTAAAACTTATCCATTTTAATTAACTACCTAAACTTCATTTTGTGCAAGATTCCCCCTCAAGTTCAAGTTAAGCAAATATACACCCCAATTGCATTTCATCTGGAAATACCCCTATACACAACATGTTGTAGACATTTATAAATGCCCAAATTTGAACATTTAAAAATGTCTAGGACATCACTTGATTCACACAAGAGCTAAAGAGCATCTTCCATCCATTTTCTCGATAGAATGAGAGCGGAGGTGTTTATTTGCTTGATTTGTGATAGATAGCGAATACATTCTCTTCTCAGAAGAAACACATTCTCATTTTCTTGCTGGTGAGAGTTGTAGTAATGGTCAGTGGTTTTTCTTTGCCAATGCTTACCAAGCTATTTGTAACAGCTGGGGCATGTATCTGAACTCGAGTGGGAATCTTCTCTCATCTTTAAGTGAATGAATTCTATATTTAAAGAAAATATATTTTAGGGGGAATCTAAGACAAAATAATGAAGTTTAGGTGGGTATATATAGAGTTTAACATTTATTTTTCAAAGGGGACATCCCAACTACAATGTCAAATGTGGTTTGGAAAATATTTTCTAGTAATTGTTTCTTCTGCTACTTCTTTTTGATGGCTTGTAATTGTTTCTTCATGACCCCATTTTAGTATTATTATGTGATTGCTTCACCGGAATATAGGACTGACCTTAGAAGAGAGTCAAGTCAATCCACTTGATGTTAAAGACTTAAAGTTGGTTGTAAGGAGATCGGATCTTCTCCTCACACATGGCGCCTCACACCAACCTCACAGGCACATCTTATGGTGCACATGGTGCACTGGGAACATTTTACATACTTATTTGTTATTATTTACGAGAAATGTTCTCAATAAACAGTGGGATGTATCTGTGAATTCGTTGTGAGGCACCCTATGTGAGGAACAGATCCCAATTAGGTTGTAAGGCATTCTTCTTATTGACGAGGCATGGGTTCAAACTGGGAAAGGCAGGTTCTTCAAATACTGCCTAAACCAAAGGGTTGTGCCTCCTTGAAGATTAAAAAACATTATCTCAAGTTGCGCTGGCTTGCACATGAAGCTCTTGCTAATGGGCTGCATGTGCACCCTATCATTAACCTACTTGACTAAGTCTTGCATATAGCCCCTATTAAAGGCTGAAGTTCATCAATAATATAAAAAAAAGAAAAAAAAAAGAGATATACCTTGTAATACAACGTAGATTCAATTTTTTTTTTTTTTTTTGATAAAATTAGATTCAATGGATAGGACTGTGCAGTGTGCACTCGGTTCAGTTGCTCTCTCTCTCTCTCATAACAAGAAATTGCTTTTCGTGAACGTATCAAGAAACTAAGTAAAGAGATTAATTTAAGATGGATTTATCAAATCTTTCATAAAGAAGAAAAGATTACGTTGGAGTTTGGTAAATTTAATAGGGAGAAGAAATCCTCATAATTTGCTTCTCCCATCTCCTAATCCAACTTAATGCGAAAATGCTAAATCACCCTCTTATCGGAATATGAATAATTGAACACGATTCACTATTAATACCAAGTAATTGCCCCATGATTTACTTTATTAATTGATTTATTTATTTTTATGGTAACCGAGGAGTAAACAACTTGTGATTCATTCACCAAAAGACAAAGTAATGAGCCATTCGGTTCAGTCACTTCAGCCGCTAGTAAACGGCCCCACCTCCCTAAGAATCAATCCGTCGTTATTCTGTATATTCCCTATTCGAAAGTTAACAAGAGCAGAACGTACAAAGAATTTTTCCAAAGGAAACAAATCAATAATCCGAATATTTCCATGGTCTTAGGAGATTGGAAGAGAATGAAGGATGGATTCATTGACCACAGATTTCGATGGCTTTGAAGCCTCTAAAGTCGCCTCGTCTCCTGGGATTTTAATCAGCTCTGCTGACTCCAATAAAAGCACCATCTCCTTTCGCTTAGATTTCTGAACCAGAATTAAAATACACAAAAAGAAGAACAGTTTCTGATGCAACTAGACAACCCATGAACGTCTCTCACTATTTGGGGTGCTATTTATATTGTTTCTACGCCAGCCCAGTTGCTGATTTTAGTGGTTTTCAATTTCTTAGAGCACCCAGACGCTGTTTTGGCCTTTTGGGTCTGTTCTTTGCTTTATAATTGTACGACTAGCAGATTAGTTTCAGTAAAGATTTATTTCCTTTTACATACTTCTGCTTTGATTTGTAATATTTGTAGAGGATTTATATCAACATTCCGGCGGATTTTCTTTTTCATTTTGGGTATCAGATGTCGAATTTATGATTTTGGTCGATAATTTAGCTTCTATTTTCTATTGTAACCTCAAGTTTCGGAAGTTTTCTTAAACAACCGGCTAGGTTCTGATTTTTGTGCGGACCCAACTTTAAAATTTCAGTTGAGTGGATTCTGATTTTTCACACTTGACGGAATGCCCAGTTATCATGATCGTGCATTTCATCCATCCTCTTCATTGAATACTCGAATCCTTTGGAGAAGACCCAATTGAAGATCTTCGGTGTTTTTTTTTTTTCGAAAGCTGTAACATCTTCAGAGATGTCTGGGTTGCATGATCAGATAGAGATCAAGTTCCGTTTGACGGACGGGTCAGATATTGGCCCCAAAAGTTATCCTGCTGTTACTAGTGTTGCCACCTTGAAGGAAAGCGTAATTGCTCAGTGGCCTAAAGGTTGGTTTTCTGTGTTTTTACTCTTTGTATAGTCCATCTGGGATGGATATAGTTTTGAAGGGAAGTTATGGTGGAAAACTTTTCTCTTAATCTGCTCTACGTCAGAACTATATTTTAGAGTCTATATTATTATGGTTTTTGTTTTAAGTTTAGGCTGGGCAACTTTTGTTGGGTTTCTGAGAGACAAAAATGGTTAAGATGGTTAATTGGTATGTAACAAAAATGTATTTGTTGAAAATCCAGTTGTATTAGTTTTCTTGCTCTGCATGTCAACTTCCAGATCTGTTAGAGAGGTCATTCATTCTTCTGCAAATTGTCTTTTAGAATAGTCTTTGAAATGTTTGGATGATTTCTTTGACAACTAGAAACCGACCATGTAGAAAATTAAATCATCTGATCTGAAGTTAAAAGAGAATCTTGCATGGTCTAATCAACATCTCATTGTCTTCATTATTAACAAGGTTGGGAATCACCTGTAATAACTCGAGATCTTGGGGAGCTCCTTCCGAAGAGAGAATATGCTGGAAATAATTAACAGCTTCCTGACCCATCTCCTCGTGATTATTAGTCAAAATTCCATGGCTGTTTTTGATTCGGTATATGTAGTTTTTCCGTAATCCAACAAATCAGTACAGCTGAAGGAAGAGGAACCAATTGAGAGTTGAGACCCATAAAGTTATTTGTTGTCATTTAACAGGCTATCCCTAGATTTCCTCATTGATTTCCTATTTGGCTAGGAAGATTCTCCTTTGGCTTTCACCAAATTCGTGAAGATTGTGTTAAACATGAAGTTGTTTTAGAGATAAACACCTGATGGGTAAGCTAATTGAAAGGAGTCCTGATTATTAAGCTCACTCTTTGTGCATAGTCTAAAAGAAAGAGGAAGAGTTGGATTTCAATTGGCTAAGAGATGAACTAGAAGAACCAAGGATTGCAATAAGAGAACATATGCAGGACTCATCAATAATTAGTATTGTTTTGCTTTTCTACTTTTTTTTTGTCATTGTTTATTATCTTACATTTATGCACTTACCAAATCCAGTAGATAACTCTGTCTATTGTTAATGGATTTCAATTGGCTGTCTTCTTCAGCAGAGAAGGAGAATGGTCCGAAGACTGTGAAAGATCTGAAGATAATAAGTGCAGGAAAGATATTGGAGAACAACAGAACACTGAGAGAATGCAAGAGTCCAATATATGGCCTCCCAGGGGGAGTTATAACCATGCACGTTATTGTTCAACATCGTTCAGACAGAATTTCAGGTATACTTCAAGATTTTCTGATGCTCGTGCAAGAAAAAAGACAGAAAAAAACACAACATGCTCCCTAAGCCCCATTTTGTACAGTAGCCCATTGATTTTCTTGACTCCTGCTACACAACCCTCCAAATAGATTAAAGCAAAGGCAAGGCCAACTGAATAAATCTATAAATCTATAGTATCACTTGCACTGGTCTTTGTTTTGAAATTGAAGTTTGGAACTGCTAAACATCTTCTTGTTTAATAAAAGGTCCTCTGTGTAGAATCTGATCAGCCTGATAATTGCCAAATCCTAACTGATGCCAAAAAGATGGCTATGTTTCAGATTAGGTTCTTTTGATAATCCATTATTCATTGAATTTCATTCAATTACTTTTTCCTCTTTACCTCCTAGATTTTTGGTTCTGGGGTTTCTGATTTGGGCTGATCCTTTAATGGAACAGAAAAGAAAGTATCAGACCTTGAAAAACAGAACAAGTGTGGTTGTGTTATTCTATAAGTTGCAGTTTCAGATGGTGGAAGGGAACCTCAAAGTCACAGGCAGGTATGTGGTTTTTATTGGAGTATCCATATCGCTATATCAGGCCTTTAATCTTGTGTGCTAAACATGAAATTTTGTTCTTTGGTTCTCTTTCACGAATAGAGCCGAGTGCTGGAGCTGGTATAAATATCGAAGTTGGTAACCATCATGGAAATCTTGGCAGCTGACGTGAAGTACATCTGATCAAAGCTCATTTTACTATGGGCCCATGCGTTCTCTTTAAGGCTGTTGCCTTCCTGTAAATTTTTAATACATGTAATTTCTTGGAGCCCATTCGACTCTACAATTTATAATTCATATCCCAGGCTTTCTGTTTACCTTATCGGCATGATACTGTCATACTTTTACTCTCCCTGGAATTGGAGAGGGAGAGAGCTAGCGAGATGGGCTAACTTGTTTCACTCATTGAGGAACTGGGTCTGAATCTCAAGAGGATTTCCAAACACACATACACACAATAGGATGTATAAAAAGGAAGGATCCCCAATGGGCAAATTATTTATCTGCAATTAACACACAGTAGGGCCGTAGGGTCTCACTTATGTGGTGTCAAAGTGGGGATCTAGTACAAATATAAGGTGCCAAATGGGGCTCTAAATAACAGAATAATGTGTAAATTGCAGCTCTACTATTTAAGCTAAACGATACCTTATAGATGGAGCTTAGACCACGTGGCAATGGAGCTGGACTTTGTATTTAAAAGTAAAAGAGCCTATCCAAACCAATACGCCCATTGGAGGAATTATTTCTTTTTAGGCTGTTAAGAGAATACAAACTTATTCAGAAACCTCATCTAACAGCTAGACCAACCTGTTCACATGTTGGGTAGGATTCGGGCCTGGCTTTTATCTTTATATTAATCGAACACATTCAGGCCTGAGCCTGGGCCTGATCCAACCATCGAGCTTAGATCTAAGTCTAAAGCTTAGTCCTGAGAAAAAATACTTTCTTTTTTTTACTCAAAACTGATTTATATCCAAAACTACTGAAAGATTTGTCATCTGTGGTGAATTGGATCTCCTGGGTGAAACTTCCGAATGTAGTGGATGCTGAAGTGAATAGTCCCTGAGTAAGTTGTATTGCTTGTGCTTGTTGGAATATCTGGACCTCCCGCCCGCAACAAGCCCAACAGAGATGCACATGCAGCTCCGCCCTTCATTATAATCTTAAGTAACGATCTCAAAAACTGAACTAGAGTTACAGTTGTGCATTAAACTTCCAACTTTGTATCTACAACCTTGGTGCAGGTATGTCAAACAGAAGAATGTGGGTACGCTTGCTTTGTGTGTGAACCGTTTTCTTCCACGTGGGTCAAAATATTATAAGACTGAGAAGCCTGATCAAGGTGCACAACAAAGAGAAGAGCACCACTTAAACCCTAAAGATGGATAATATTCAGAGAGTGATATCGTTTGAAGAACTATACCTGCTGAAAGATCATTTTTTTCTCGGGACAAATAATGCCTTCAGTCGCACTGAAGTTTGATTCATAACCTTGCTAAGTGGATTGTTCTCCATCTTCTCCTCCATAGTTATTTTGAAAGATGCACCAGCAACTTTTGTGTTGTTTACTTCTGATCAAGGTTCAACGTGTTGATATGTATCATAAGTAGTTGATATATTTTTTAGCGTTTAGACAATGGCAAAAGGTGTTAAATACATATGGTCTGAATGGTATTTATTGAAACTTAATGAAAGTATAGCTACTTGTATTGATTGTTGGAATTGCTCAATACTTGGAAAAAAAAGTACCGAGTGTAATGGACACTTTGAACCTTGCTTCTGATTGGGTGTATATGTTAGAAACAAGATGTGTAACACAGACTGATATTATTTGTCTATTTGATGCAACTGTGGGCTGTGGCAATTGAATAATAAATTGCTGGGTATCAAAGGCAATGGACACAATCTAGCTAGTAAGAAATCCATGCTTTGTGACATACAGTTTAAAGATAAGCATCCAGTTAAACCCAACACATATATTACCAACATAAGAAAGAAAATTTGGAAACCAAGTACAGTAAATTCAGAATTAACACAATTGCCATGATCTGCAACTAGAACCATATAATACAATACTCTAGTTATAGAAACTGAAAGGGTTCATGTACAAGATAGTCATACACAAGCTGGGGCCTCAAAGTGGGGGAATGCAACAAAGGCAATGGACAAGGGAGAAATATATATGGGAGATTTTACATCAACAAGAACAGGATCTAGTGGAGGGATGTCTCCATTCTCAGTAAGCTCTAAAGGAGTCCCATTCAAAAGCATTTTCTGGCTCCGGAGATGCCCATCCATTGAGGTTAAATGATATTCCTCTCTCAGAGCTTTGCCATCTGATGTTTTCCTTCCAACCCAGGAAACTGTTTTCTTAAGACCATGCATGAAAGAGCCTCCTTGAGTGATCTTTTCTCCTTCATGAACATTGATATTGACATCATTTTGGACCATGATTTTAAAGTCAGTTTGGTTGCTTAAATTGATCAGGAGAAGGGTTATCCCTGCCTGCAACAGACATTTCCAATAAGTACAGGATCTCTTAAAGGAATAAAAGAATTATGCTCAGCACCCTAAGTTCTTGATTCCTTCATGACACCATATAGACATGACTTACTGTTCATCCATTCAGATTTTAGCAAAAAAATAAAAAAGATCACCCATTCAGTAGAAATCACTTGGATGTCCACAAAATTATCTCAACTAAATGATTTAATTTGAACTAAGAATGTCACTCAGGTGACTGCTTAACTAAACTGACCCGACTCAACCCAACTGATAAGAAGCAAATAGATTTTCCTAGGGATGGGAGTCTTGCAATAAGTGAAAGAGGTTTCAAGTTTAGATCCATAATCAAAACAGCAGAACAACTAAATTGGTTAAATCATAAATGCATCTGTGTTTGCTCAGGTTGAGAAATTTTTGGTTAGAATCCAGGTCAAGGCAGGTTAAAGTTAAGTTTGTGACTATCAATATATCAGGTGACGATCAGATTCAGTCAATAACTAAATTGCATACGAATCTAAATGATGGATCTTACTAATGGAATAAAATTATGGTAGGGTCATCCGTCATCCAGTGACCTTTCCTCATTGATCTGATTAGGAAACCTCCTAGCATATGCACAATTTCTTTTTTTTTTTTTGCATATGCACAATGGCACAAATATTGTTGACATGTATAGCATTCATTTTTTAAGTTAAGTTCATAAGTTGGCTCGAGCATCATCTTTTTTTAGCCAAAAAGTTCTAGGTTTGAGTCTCATGAAAGTATTGCCATTCTATCTTGTTAAGAATTTAGAGTATCCTAACTGCACCTGATTTCTTTCTGACGTTTGACAAGATATTAGAGTAAAATCCATAGACCCAATACTGGTCCTAGTTATAAGGGGTCTTAGGAGAGGTGGACTGGATATGTACCCAAACTTTGGATTTTTTTTTTTTTGGCACCAAGTGATACACATGGATCAGTTTGGATACAAGAAAATCTAATCTAAACCAGACTCATTGACACCGAATTTAGGTTATACCACCACTTTGGTTAAGCCCTAAACCCAACCCCAACCTGGACTGACTTCCAAGTTGTACCACAAATCCTAACCACTATATGTGGACTATCTACCTAGGGCTGAAGCATGGGGATGGGTAAGAAAAAAATGCAGTTTACAGTTTTGATGGGTAAGAAAACATGTGGTTAACTGACTTCCAAGTTGTACCACAAATCCTAACCACTATATGTGGACTACCTACCTAGAGCTGAAGCATGGGGATGGGTAAGAAAAAATGTGGTTAACAGTTTCAAAGGAAGTCCTAACAAATGCAGCAATATGGACCTGTTGGAGCTCAAGTGCTTCCTTGGAGATTTCTTATGCCAAAATGTTTACTTGACAGAATGGTCTATTCACTTGGATGGAACATGCATATCCAAGTAGAAAAGCTTGGACACAACATAGTCCTCTGATTATGTTTCCATACTTCAGTGATCTTTATAGTACAATTCTTCACATCATTCTCTTATTTTTTTCAAAGTGAATTCTTGGAGAAAATCAAGAAACATGGTATGAACAGACTTACTCTTCCTTTTGAACAATGGGCATAGGCACGTAAAAATGGTGATGCATCACTATGAACAGCAAGGACGCCTTTTCCCATTAGCCGATGCCACAGAAGTGCACTGGTTACAATCAATTCATACAATATAATCATAACCTTGAATTTTTATGCATGTTAATGTGCGCATTTGTGTTTACTCTTAGCCTTAAATCATCTTGCCTGTAATAATCAGGGTTAGGGACAAATGTGGTTGTGTTAAGAAGACCATAGTTTCCGCCAATCAAAGTCTGTCTGCAGTATGCCTTTGTACTGTACTTGGATGCCATTCCAAGCTGATCTAGGTACCTAATTTTCATGGATGAATTTGTGAGAACTCAGTATAGGAAACATGATTAGAAGGATACAAAATCTCCCCTCCAACCCTAAAATGTGATGCAAATGTCTGAAGGATGAAAAGGAGGTGAGAGATCACCAAAAGCTGTTTACAAATGCATTAGACACTAGACGACCACCACTGTTATAAGCCCCACCAGATTCTCCAACCCATGCAGAAGCCCACGGACCATGTTTTTGTATGGTAAGTTGAAGATCGCTGAATGTTCCTGATATCTGACTCAAATAATGAGGATCCAATATCTTTTTCACAAGATTTTGATCAACACCTGAAAAAGAGTCATAAATTACAGATGGAATTGGTCACAGGTTCTTAAAGGAAAAATATGCAATGGAATCAGAAATTTAGGTGAACTCATATTTCGAAAAGAATGATATTAGTTGTCCCTTGTTTTCAGAGTCCAACAATATTATACATACAGGGATCAACAATCTACTGAATGGAAAACCAAATCTGATTGATTCATGTAATGAATGAAGTGCATGTGAGTGTAGGACCTACCTTATGATGAGTCATACCTAGATCACCTAAACTGAAATTTTACCTGATCTAGATGGTCTATCCATATGATATGGATCAACAGTCTCTCTCAAAAAAAGAAAGATGCACCTTTTCAAAGAAGATAGAGGGCATGATCAATAAAATTGATAATTCATAGAGGATAGCTATTATCATCCAAGAGGTGACTGAGGTTGGACATATTTGTGTTACGGAATCGTCATTAAGAAATAAATCAAGGCATTAATTGTGATTAACCGATCATTATTATCTGATTAAAACCAAATAAGTTTATTCACAAATGAATGATTTTAGCTATAACAGATTTATATGAGTTTAAGATTCTTTTTAATCATAATTTCTTTTGGTGCAATTTGGATCTGGAGAGGGTTAGTAACAACGATTAGAAATTTTAAGATTTCTTTTTTAATAATTCTATATTTAACTTAGAATCTATAGGGATATTGGAAACTCTTTATCATATAAAGGGCAGCGTGTGCCTCTAGTTTGATTATTACTTTAAAATTTGAGACTGATCAAAAGAATCATTTTAATTTGTGTTGGTTAACTTAAAAAAGGGTAAACTACCCTTATGTTTTCTGGCAAATGCTTTAACCTCTCTGTAATTTGACCTCTCCAAATTTCTCCTTTGGCATTTCAGAGAAATTATACAAATAGACTCCTGTTAGTTTGACACCAAATAGAACAGACTCAGATCAATGGTAAAGAAAATCAAGGGAGATCTTCAATAAAATTTCTATTAGAAAATACTATTCATAATTTCAAATTGATGGTATAGAAAATATGGCAATTATAAGTACCTCACCCACCTGGACCTAAATTATAGATATGATGTGTCAGGACATTCACAACATCTGACCCAGAGACCTGAAGAAGCTTGGCATACCAATCCTGACTATAAAATCCTCCTGGTGCTAAAAGCATTGGTTTTGTATGAAATTTCTTATATAACTCATTGATAATAGCCTTAAGTTTGATCAAGTCTTTTGCATACTGCTCAGAACTAACACTTGCGCCAACCCCATTTCCACTCAGCTCATTTCCTGATAGAGGGTGAACATGGAGTAAAGGTGACAAAGATATGACAAGAAAACAACATAAAGAAGTATTTACAAAACATACAGTACCAAATTCCCATGAATCAATTTGATATCCCTTTGAAATGGTATATTCCATGAAACTTTGAGCATTACTGGTGTCCCAAGCACCTCCCCAAACACCTCTTCTGATTTCGTGTCGCCCATAAAGTGCATTCAGACCAAATGTCACAATTGCTCTGTAACCATAAGATGCAATTTAGCTAGTACTTAGTTGCAGTCAATATCTTTGTGGTTTCAGCAACCAACTTGTGGTTGTTATCTGACCAAGTTAGAACACATTTAAAGCCACCTAAACTCTAGTGGAAAGGTTGTAGATTTCAAAGGGTAACAGATTTTTAAAACATCTAGTAGTATCTAATTTCAACTAACATAGTGGTGCAGCATGCTTCACAAGAAAGGGAATAAAATGAAGGTCTAGGGTCCAAAACAGATAGTTGGGCTTGATGGATACTCATAGGATTTCCAATACCTTTTTGCCTTGCAAATGTTCACATAAATAAAAAAGAAAAGAAAAAATAGCACTGATGGTGCACTTCTCTTCATTAAACACAGGTTGAAGTAATAATTTTTGATTGTTGCCTTGTTGGTTACAAATTGTAAGAGATAAATGGAAAAAACCATCTCAGTCACCTAATTTCTTAAGTGTTCATTTTCAGCTTATGAATGAACTAGAAAGACAGTGATGAAATATATAAACCAAAAAGCCAAATAGATATGAAAAACCTTACCCTGTTTTACTGAATAAGTGGTTGATCTCGTCCCACCTATTCATTTCTAAACAGCCTGTGGAAAATCCAAACAGCCCATCTGGTTTCTTTTGAAATGGATGACATGGATGCTTCAAAGTCCCTACATTGTACACAACTCGGTCTTGCAAGGAGCCTCCAATTCTTATTCTCAGAGGATTGAAAGCTGTCAAACCACAGAGATCAGTTTCCAAGAGTATTAGATGTCTTGAAGAACTAAATTCATAAGCCACAGGACAATTTATTAGTTAAAATAGATGTATATTCTGGATAAAAAAAACTAAATTAAGAAAAAGCCATCATCACTAATTCACTATTGCTCGAATTAGAAAGAACAGTAATGGAAGCCACAAATCAGCAGTCCAGATGATCTAAATTCAATAATCAAAACCACAAACCTTGAATGGCCTTGGCAAGAAAAGGATGCGACAAGTCCTAGAAGGATAAAACAAAAAATTAGTATTGACTGGAACGTAAAATGGATTTTCTTTCTTTATTAAAGAGACCAGTCGAATTCATACAAGATTTAGAACAGATGATTCTCCCCATGGGCATTGATTGTAGTTGCACTTATCATGAGGCCACCAATCAAGAGTAGCACAAATGAAATTGTGGTCAGTCTCAGCTATTGATTTAGATCCCCGGACTACAATTGTTGCAAGTGCAGACTCTTGAGCGCAAATCCCAGAAAGCGAGACAACCGAGAACAAGAGGAAGAGCTGGAAACCCATTCTTAGACACTACAACAGATTCAGTTCCAATGTAGAATGAATGCACTGCGAAAAAAAAAAAAAGAATCAAAAGATGAACGAGCTCATCTTAACATGTGATACACAAGGTTCCCTGTTAACACAGATAAAAACAAATCTTTCGCAACTTGAGCTTACAAATGGTTAGAAAAAGATAAGTGTGTATGACCCCAGATTCCTTTTTTCACAGGAAATCGTGTCAATCAGTTAAGAAAACAAAATCATAAGCTCCAGTAACATTAAAAACTGAAAAAAGACAAGGCATTCTCAGAGGAAAGAAAAAACTGAAGTGAACGGAAGATGGAATAAAGAAGTGGGTCTTGAAACTTGAGCTATAAACAATTCAGAATAACAGAAATTATGTCCGATTTGGTGCTTTTTTTCCACTAAGCATATATAAACTTTATCCTTTTACCAGTAGAATCAAAGCAAGTAGCTTTACCAATCGAAATACTTTAGTAAAGTTATCGTCGCGTTTCGATAACTCTATACAAATCAAAGGAAGATAAGTGCGCTCTGAAACTTATATTCCAAATCAGCAAAACTTTCGCCATCGGATCTACGGGAAAGGAATAAAGAAAAATGACAAATTCAAAGCTCCTGACAAAAGATAGTTACTTTTAAGAGAAGCCCAAGTGGAAACCAACCTCAATTAACCGTAACTAAGCAACATTGGCGTTCACAGGGCTCATCGAAGTAAACCTGGACTGAGCCTTCTGAAAGATATGAGAGCAGGAAGATGGCATGCTTCTAGTTCTACTACAAAGTAACTTTCCTTTCTCTGTTTGCTTGACCTCTAACACTTTTCATCATCCACCATAGCAACAAAAGGATGGCGTCATGTCATGAGTGAAGCGACAAGAAAGTCGTTTTCGGGGTTATCTGGATTTTTGACCACTAAATGAAGATCGCCATATCCTAAGCCGTGTCTGGTCGGGCACCAAAGAGTAAGTTGTCTTTGTAACGGAAGATAAATGAATACAGATATTCTTGGATACTACTAGAATACAGAAAGATAACATTATAAGAGTGACAGTGAGTGAGTGGTAAATTTGGTGCAACCGACAGACCGAGTTGGTTTTTATCCGAAGATAAGAAGATTCTCTCCTTTTTTACTTTTATAAACAGCACAAGAAGAAATTATCAAATTATGCGGTTCACACTTGCACAATACCTTTACCTCCTCATCAGTAATGGTTAATGTTTTTTTTCTTCTTTTTTTCCATCCAACTGTTCTGGGTTGTTGGGAGGCGGGTAATTTGTTGAGTTGAAGTTTAGCAAGCATCAATCACATACATATTGAAATTGAAGGACTAAGGTTGCTATTAAAGGCTGGTTGGTGTAGACTGTAGAGTACAGACCGGAGCCTGTACTACATGTACATCGAGACTGATTTTTCCATCTATTTAATTCAGAGTTGAATCATTCTGTAGAGTGTTGACCCACTTGTGGCTTGTGGGGATGGTTCGAAACTTATCAGGGTTTTCAGCTCAGGGCTTGACAATGTGACGTGGTGGTCAAAAAAAGAACTGTAAAATTATAGGTAACCCCATTACTTGGGATAAGGTATCATGATGATGATAATGACAATATAAAACACGTGGCATTTTTTTGGAATTGTGTGTTTAAAATACCAGAAAGAAGTAGAACTGTAAAAATGAAAAAATAATAGAAAATGGGTCATAATATTAAGTGATAATCATTTATCTTTCATAAGATAAGTGAAAAATCCTATCTCTTACTAGAAATCGGATTCAGTCGGTGCAAAGCCCATTGTAACGGTCTTTATAGTCACAGAATTAGGGAGATGTTTTCAATGCATGGCTATTCCAACGGGTCTTGCAGTGACTGAAGCTCATCTCTTCCTACAAGGGGTTGTGATATGGGTGCTAGGATCTGCTTCTCACAGATCGTGCTTTTGACCGACTTCATTTCGAGATTGTAAATTTTTATTCATGGGAGATGTTTCTTATACACGGTTGGAACATGCTGTGAGGTCGGTGTGAGGCGCATTCAGTGCTAGGCTGTTCACACTGTTCACATAGCCTTTGAGAATATCTTTTCATGAAGAAAAATATACAAGTACCAAGATATTCCCAATGCACGGTGTAAAAGGCTGTACGAACGGTGTTAGCACTAAGCCGGTTTCAATATTTGCACAACCTTTTATGCCATGCATTAAAATATCTCGATACAATTGTATTTTTTTTATGAGAATATATTCCCAATGCAAGGCTGCAAGGGACTGTGCAAACAAGGTGAGCAGTGAAGCCAATTTTAATTTGGAGCAATGGAGGTGTGGAATCAAATAAGGTTGCAACTTGGGCTAAATTAGACTGAACCCAGTCCAAGAAAGTCATGTTGGGTCTGGCTGAAGTTCGGATTAGGGTTAGGATTTTAAACTATGGACATGCTTAACTTTGGATTAGGTTAGGGTTAGAGGTCTCATCAACCTAATAACCCAAGCCAAATCCAACTTAACTTCATGTTCGCATGCATAAATATTATATAAACATGCATTTATGCCAGTACTTATGCAGATAAACTATGTTCTTTTACACATAATAATGCTAAAATTGAATTAATTTGAATCAGCATTTGGCAAAACAAAGTAAAGAAATCAAAATCAGGCCAAGCCAAACCCAAACCCGATCACAACTGGGGGCTAAACAACTTGGGGTTGGTTAGGATTGACCCCAACCTGATCTAACGTGGCCGCACTTACACCCCTAGAATCAAACCCATCTAACCGTAGGCTCTCTTGTGGTAAGTGTGCATCCTGCTTTGTGCCCACCCCTTTAATCCCCTCTATATAATGTGTAAGTGGGGAAAAAAACAGTCATTGCAATTGAAGTAGGCCAATGACGGGTCAATAGTTGAGTTGGTCACTCGGCATCCCTCCAGATTTTAGATTCAAGCCCCATGTGATTGTGAGTGAATGGTAATAAGAGAGTTCAGATCGGCTCCAAAAGGGGGAGATATTCCCAATGCACCTGTTAAATGTTAACTGGGTATAGCGTAAAAAACAAGCACTAGAGTTTCCTTTAGAATGGTTGGACCGGTTGGTTCAAGTTTATTTCCTTATTATTTTTCATGTTGCACAATAGGTTCCCTAGCAACTTTATTGATAGAACTCTTCGTAGATGCCCCAAGTGTATATGTGATGATGAGAAATTAATTGGCCAATACAACAACTATGTGCTCTCTAGGTAATATATCAACCCCATCTTTTTGCCAGGCCTGGGTTCAAAATTTTGGAATCAGGAGTGCATTTTGGGACATCAGCATCATGACTGGCTTTTGGTGCAGATTCCAAGTTTGCATTTTCTTTTTCTTTCTTTTTTTTTTCTTTTGGAGCGAGAAACTGCTCACTATAACCTACCTTTTTAATTAGGAAGTGTTCATCAATATGGATGATTTTGTTTCTCAAAAACAAAAACAATGGCCACATCACTAAAATTATAAGACTTCTACCACGCACATTCATTCTTAGGTGAGAAAATGCTCACAGAACCTAGGGGGTGTTCACCCATATGCATCAACCGTAACTTATTTCTGAAAATAAAATGCCACTTGCCACATCAGTAAAATTATATTRTTTGTCTCACTAGTGTAAAATATGAGCTGATTAATACAAATAAAAGGAAAATATGAGTCAAAATCAAATTTATCTTTTATGACCTGCATAAAAACAAAGGCAAGTAATAATTGTTGAAAAACTAAATGAAATATAGCAACGGATCAAAATTGGATAACTATTTTTCATTATAGTAACGGATCAAAAAGGGGGAACAAACATCCCCTAACACGTAACCCCCCCAACCCAGGTGTAGGTGGGATTTCATCCCAAGTCTCCCTTACAATCGGCAAAAGACCTTATCAACCAACTGGTTGGCACCTCACAATTCTGGCAATGAATTCTTTCAAGTTGTTGGCATCACAGCTTTAAAGCCCCTAAAAGAGATGCATACATGTATAACAGGCCACATAATCCATCCTAAGTAAGCATAGTGAACATAGAAATGTTCCATACACATGGATGTAACACATTTTTCTCAACATGTTTATGTTTGCAGCACATCAGGAGTCAAAGAAATGTGGTTTTGTATGACTTATCTGCTGCAAACACAGACATGTAAAGCGGGCTCCATAGCCAAACCCCCATACCATCCACTCAGGCGGGTAGGTTGGGTTGGATGATAAAGTAGTTTTAGGTTTGATGAGAATCTGATTTTTAATTTCCATTAATTCCTGCTCTTTTCTTTGCTGTGGTCCATGTTTTGAGAGTGGGCACTAGGTACAAAGAAGCAACCAAATTAAATTGGCCACTTCATTCAATCTAGTTCGACATTAGTCTTGCTTGTACTTAGCCAATGCAAGTTGAACTATTTTTAGCTGAACTTGGTTGGATGGTTCCTACCTTAATTTTCCTTGTCTTTTTCAAAGAACCATATGGTTTTAAATGATAAGGATTCGAGTTGTAAGTTGTAACTTCTGTTACTCATACTCAAGTACCTGAGGGGTGTTCATGAAAAACCAAAAAACTAAAAAATTGACCTAAACCGAACCATGAATACCCCCTAAACTCTAGGAACTCGATATTGGAGAGATTTGAGAAAAGGCTAGCTTCTTAGAGGAAAATTTATCTCTCCTTAGGGGGAGAGTCACTTTGATTATGTCTATCCAACAAGCTAACCTTCCATTTTTTTTTCAGTGTTTAAGATTCCCACAAAAGTCTTTAATAGTGTGGAAAAGTTAATGAGGAAATTTTTGTGGGAGTCAAGAGAGGAGAAGAAAGATCACAAGGTGAGTTGGGAGGTGGTAATTAGATGTAAAAATCTAGGAGGGCTTGTGATTGGGAATATCATGAAAAGAAACATGGCATTTTTTTTCAGTGTTTAAGATTCCCACAAAGGTCTTTAATAGTGTGGAAAAGTTAATGAGGATTTTTTTGTGGGAGCTAGGAGAGGAGAAGAAAGATCACAGGGTGAGTTGGGAGGTAGTAATTAGATGTAAAAAGCTAGGAGGGCTTGKGATTGGGAATATCATGAAAAGAAACATGGCATTTTTTTTCAGTGTTTAAGATTCCCACRAAGGTCTTTAATAGTGTGGAAAAGTTAATGAGGATTTTTTTGTGGGAGCTAGGAGAGGAGAAGAAAGATCACAGGGTGAGTTGGGAGGTAGTAATTAGATGTAAAAAGCTAGGAGGGCTTGKGATTGGGAATATCATGAAAAGAAACATGGCATTTTTTTTCAGTGTTTAAGATTCCCACGAAGGTCTTTAATAGTGTGGAAAAGTTAATGAAGAATTTTTTGTGGGAGCCAGAGAAGAGAAGAAAGATCACAGGCTGAGTTGGGAGGTGGTAATTAGATGTAAAAAGCTAGGAAGGCTTGGGATTGGGAATATCATGAAAAGAAACATGGCATTGTTGGGGAAATGGTTGTGGAGGTTTCCACTGGAAATGGACAAATTGTGGACGAAGATAGTGGCTAGCATACATGGGCTGGAAGAGAACGACTGAGATCTAGGAATTATGGCAAGGGTTACAATTGCTTCTCCTTAGAAAGCCATTCATGATCTGTTTCTAGTTTTCTCCCATTGGATCATGTATGATTTGAACTTTGGTAATCAAATAAAGTTTGGGAAGCAACCTTGGGTTGGGGACTTACCTCTGATGGACCAATTTCCCTCTTTGTATGCTTTGTTAGATTTGAAAAATGAACCCATACCCTCTTTCTTATTTCCTTCAGAATCAACTTCTGGTTTTGGGGTGGAACCTGGGTCTGAGAAGGGCAATTAGGGGTATAGACTTGGGTTGTATTTTGTCTATGCTAACCATCCTTGAACAGTTTTCTTGCTTTGGACCCCTTCCTCCTCTAGTTCTTTTTCTTGTACTTTATTCTTTGAGACTTTAATTCAGCCTCCTGTTCCTCTTGGGTTGTCATTCCCTGTTAAAGAGATTTAGAGTAA